AAACACCAACAGGATCCAAACAGAGTGAGTTGATTGGTTATTCCACCATGATTTGGATATTACTTGATTCTGATTGGACACTCAGAGGTATCAAATCAGAACAATGACCTCAAATTGTAAAAGCAACCAGAACAGCCACATCTTTGCAGAAACTAATAAGTGGAGTCAGTAAATCGTGTTAATGCGTCAATGGAGCATGTTTTCTCCAGTTGGACTGGCAAGGAAAAGGTTGTTTATTGGATCAATGCCTAATACTTTTTTTATGCTCTACATGATTTTTCGAGTTAAGTTTGTACTATTTTAAGTGAAATAGAGATTTTCTTTCAAATCATTTGATGTCTTTATAGGACCTTCTAGTGCCAAGTCCACATCGACAGTTGTCAGCTGCATTGACAAGAATGGAAAGCAAAAGGGAGAAGGTGGTGTGTTAAACTTTGATCATCTACCTTAAACATGTTGCAGAGTGTGCTGTAGGACTTTATGGGAAATGTGTGCAGCACAAGGTTGAAAGAAAACCAATAAATGTTATGAACACTGTACAGTTTCCATGAACGTGTTCCATTGACCATTGCTTGTTTTAATCACTTTTCCATGTTTATGATCATACATTACACTAAAGCAGTGGTTTAATGAATGAGCAAGTTCTCAAACACCACTGTACTAAAGAAATCTCCAAAGCATGAAGCTCCTAATTCTGCTGATTATGAAATACATTATGTAAGTCTTTCATACAAGTAGTGTAGTTGTTTAAGTCACGAACATGGAGCTTTTGAAATGACTAAAAACTCTATGGATTGGTTTGGTTGTTGTTTAACGCTGCACTCGCCAATATTCCAGCCATATGGCGGCGGTCTGTAAATAATCAAGTCTGGGCCAGACAATCCAGTGATCAACAGCATGAGCATTGATCTATGTTATTGGGATGTGATGACATGTGTCAACCAAGTTAGCGAGCCTGACCACCCGATACCGTTAGTCACTTCTTGTGACAAGCATGGGTTGCTGAAGACCAATTCCGACCCAGATAGCCACAGGTCAAAACTCAGTGGTGAAACATTCAGATGGTGCAACATTGAACTTGCACTCAAGTAACCTCAACTCAATCTGAAAAGAGTGAGAAGATGAGGTGAAAAGATTCTTGTCTGTGCAATGATTTAATATCAATAGTCTGACAGTCTCTGTACTTGCAATGCTCACCAGAACTGCAAGTTACAGTGTTCCCTTATCTCACTGATGGTGGTTACTTGTCTTGATTACCTTCCTAGATGCAGTGAGCCTGAGATCGAAGTCTGGTTTGGAGGTTGAGGGCCCAGAACAGAATGCGTACATTCCCTACTTGTATGCTCGAAAAACCATATCACGTATCATGGACGACATGACGAACATGAAGACCAATCACATCAGAATCGTTCACGACATTGACAAACACTACCGAGCTATTGAGGATGAAACACAGGTGAAACTCATGACATTTTGTGTGTGAAATGTTGATTTCAAGTTCATTTTTTTGTTTTATCCCAGCATGGGCAAAAAGTAAAATATGTTGATGCTGTAAGATATCGCAATCTATGACAAGTGTGGCAGATGGCAGAAACTTGTCTTTACATGTGAATATGATTCACAATAGAAAGTTTGTTGTATGCAATAGCTATTTTTCATGTCTTGATACAGTGATAGCTGTTCCATAATACCCAACAACACCCTACAGCTTCTACAATGCCACTTAAAGCTATTGATGAAATGCACCTGGTATCAATTAAGCAATAACATCTGAAAATATTGAAAGCTATTTATGATAATCCTTCAAGGATAGGTAGTGGATATGTTTGACATATCTTGACAGCTTGAAACCTTTTCAGTAAATCACTTACAAATGACTTTCTAAAGAACAATTAGGTTTATACATCCAAAGGGACATAACTGCTTATCCATGATTCAGTGATTCATTGGTTTGACTGTATATGTAGTGAGTTATTGACATGAATAATGAAAAGCAATGAAGCTTTGACATCCTAATATTATTTAGGACGTCCTGATCCAAATACTCCAGCCGAATTTCTTAAGCATCCCAGGGACCCTCTTGATTTCTAACCCTGTCCCTTCCTCTGTGTGACCAGTCCCAGTTCAACGCGTTTGTCCTGTGTCTGAGGGAGCAATACTCGGGCAAGGTGACGACATTCCGCCAGGTCATCGACATCCACAGGACGGAACTCACCAAGAAGGAGGCCTACTGGAACGAGGTCCTTGCGGTGAGATTATTCCTCAATTGGAGCACAATCAGTCACAATAGAATGGTATTGATTTTAAGTGGACCTTACATTTTCTGTAAGTGTTTCCCGATTCCATGTTTACACAGGTCGTGGGCTACTTGATCCATCAGTATTCACATCAATCGGAAAGTCTGATAGCACATTAGTATGATGTACCAGTATATGAATACCCAGGGGTTTTGGGTTAAAATGTGTTTTTAGCACCTATGCTTGTGCTTGAATGGGATGCTCAGATTTTTCAACTAGGTTGATCTAATAGTATCAATCGCTTGATTACTGGTCCAGGCACAGTTCTTTACACAAATTACAGTTCACTGTCATATACCTGGAATATTGCTGAATGCTGTGTTGAACAGATCATTTGTGTGATAGGATAAAAGTGGCTTTAGGTCATTGATTTTCGTCGGTCAATTACTACCAAATGTATTTGAATGTGTCAGTTATTTTGCTTTTATTCACTTGCAGTACTGGAATTTTGTTTCCATAAATGCATTGCACCACATACTGATATTTTCAGAGTCTGACAGAAAGGAATAACAGATTACTTAAAGACAAGAAGGTACTCCTGATCAAAAACAAGGTGGAAATTGATCGACTGGAAAATGAAAAGGTTTGTTCATTTGTCCCTCTCATCCTCAAACAGAGACCATATGCCATACATATTGGTATATGGTCTCTGCCTCAAATAGGGGCATGGGAACAATGTGTGAAGCCCATTTCTGGTGTCCCCCACCGTGATGTTGCTGGAATATTGCTAAAAGCGGCGTAAAACTGACTGAATCAGTGATCTGTGAAGATCAATGTTAGAAAACATACTCACTCACTCACATTGCCTCAAATGTATCTTTTTCCATTACTGATATTTTCAGATGACAGCAATAATATAAAATATGAAATATGAAACTGATGGCCAGATAAGAATGCTATAGGTTATACAATGTGTTGGTCTAAATTGTTGTTGAGAGGGGAGCTTAGTGAATAAAGGTTAATAAATAAAAGTAAGGTTAATTAATAAAATGAATTCCTGTTGATTTTGTCTGTAGCTTGGCCACCAATTAGGAATGATTCCCATTTGTTTGATTTCAGTCTGAGGTGACAACTCACTTCACACAGCTGGTGGACAAAGCCAGTGCATCAGCAGTCACGGGTAGGTGATTCACATTAGGTGATCCACATAAGGTGATTCATATTAGGTGATCGACATTAGGTGATTCACATTAGGTGATCCACTTTAGGTGATTCACATAAGTTGATCCACATTAGGTGACCCGTGAAGGTCCGGGTTAGAATATTGGCCTTCAGTAACCCATGCTTGTCGTAAGAGGCGACTAACGTGATCAGGTGGTCAGTCTCGCTGACTTGGTTGACACATGTCATCGGTTCCCACTTGAGCAGATCGATGGTCATGTTGTTGATCACTGGATTGTCTGGTCCAGACTCGATTATTTACAGACCGCTGCCATATAGCTGGAATATTGCTGAGTGCTGCATAAAACTGAACTCACTCATTCCTGTAAATCATTAACTTAAAACTTCTGCCTTTGTTGTCTGTTATGTAATCTCAGGTCTTAAATTGGTTAAAGGTGTAGTAATTTGCAATGCTGAGTTATGTGCCTTAGTTGTGCCAGGAGGGGGGCAGTAGGGTAGCCTAGTGGTTAATGTGTTCGCTCGTTTCGCCAAACACCCGGGTTTGATTCCCCAAATGGGTACAATGTGTGAAGCCCATTTCTGGTGTCCCCACCGTGATATTGCTGGAATGTTTCTACAAGTGGCGTAAAACTCAACTCAACTCACTCACTCACTCATTCCAATCTATTCAAAGTTCAGTTTGGTCATGATTCAGACCCCATCACCAAGTATGATAACATTCATAGATGCCATACACATGGTTGGCCTGACATACTATGATATTGCTCCAGAGATTGTTCCCTGCGACACATTAAACACCCTTGCTGTTTATTTTTCAGTTGGTAAAGAACATGAAGAACTACTAGCTCAGATGAAAACTGAAAATGCTGTAAGTAGACCACAAATAATCTAATGCATAATTCATATGCAGTTGTCTTGCCCATTTGTTGTTGGAATGATTTTCTATTTTGTATTCTTCCTACTTGAAAATTAGTGATATTGCTTCATTCTGTTTGAGTATGAATACTTTGTTTTTGTTTTTTATTCTTTCCATGTAAAGAATATTGATGCTCACACTGTTTCAGCATAAATAATGGTGAAATGGATGTCTGTTGTTTGTGCACTCAACATTGTTTTCAATAGGATTCACTCAAAGCATGTGAATCTGCATTTCCTTTGCTTGTTATCTCTTTGCCTTTGAGATTTGACAGCTTTGTGTCATCCGTCAGGGGCTAAACGGAGTCGATTCCCCACATGGATACAATGTGTGAAGCCCATTTCTGGTGTCACCCACCATGATATTGCTGGAATATTGCTAAAAGTGGCATAAAACTAACTCACTCACCCACTCACCCATCCCAGATATCTTGGAAACTTTGCCACTTCTTTCTTCTGGATTTCAGACCTTGGTTACAGAAGTGGAAAGTTTGAAAATGCGTCTGTCTGAACAAGACTCCACGATGTCTACCATTGTCCCTGTGGGAGCTGCAGTAGTTGCAGCTGCCCCTCGATCAAGTCCACAGATGTCGGTGGCCCAAACCCAGACTGATGGTGACAGCAGGCCTCCAGTTGTTGGCACAATGGTAGTGAAAGACTCAGAACAGCAAGAAATCGAAAAGGAGCACATTGATGGCGAGAGACGAGAGATGATAGATGAAAGACGAACCATGGGTGAGGAGCGGGAGAGGGTGGAGGAAGAAAGGAAGGCCTGGGTTGCTGAAATAAACAAACTGCAGGCCGAGTTGGCACTTGTTTCGAAGGTTAGTTGTTGTTGTTGCCATGGAAATGTCAATAAAAGTTGTCAGCTGCTCTCTAGACCTTTGTACCTGGACGGATCGTTGAAAACGAATTTATCTTACAGAAATTTATTGATGCAGGTCTGGAATGTGTCAGCAAAACTCACAGAAGATGATACAAACTGAGTTACTTCCCTTTATCCAATGCACTTGGATACTTCAAATACTTGTGTGAGATAAGCAAGTTACATGTGTACTAAATGATTTTTCAGGCAACATGAAATTTGAAAATAACTGCCCTTTCCTTAATGGTAATAGTATTGTCTGTGTGGCCTAGTGGTTAAAGTGTTCAATAGTCACACCAAAGGCCACAGTTCAATTCTCCACATGGGTATAATATGTGAAGCACATTGCTGGTGTCCCTGCTGTGATGCTGCTAGATTATTGCTAAAACTAAAAGCGGTGCAAAACCATACTCACTCACTTGTCAAGAGCTTGAAAACTGTATATCATTTGGAAAATAATTATGCAGGACCGAAGCAGAGTGGCAGGTGAAGTACAATGTGTTGAAGAGCCAGGCCGGGGATGCAGCAACACTGCACACCAAGTACATGAGGCTGGAGGACCAGTATGCTGCCCTCTCCGCTGTTGTGGCAGCTTCAGAGACGTCGAAAACTGCCGCAGAGGTATGGCTTACACATACAACATCCATAGTGTTAACTGAGTCAGGAGTAAGCAAATGATTGTTCATAGTGATTAGATATACACTGAAATCTTGTTGAAGGCCATTCTGAGGCCATCAAACGTATGTTGAATTATTCAAAGTTTTGTGTGTCCATGTTAGCAGTTTGCTGAAAAGCAGTATGTCTAGCTCATCTGTACTCAAGTGAACTTGCACATAGATGAAGGCCTAAGTTCTTAATGATTTTAAGAAAAATCAGAGGATGATCAATATATGTAGTTGAGAACCACTGTATCTAATGGGCATCAGGCAGGGAGTTACCTAATGTATTTATCACGGTGTTAGCTCGACCTTGTGAACAAACACTACATTAAGTCCATTCTTAGTGTCCACACCAGTATTTGTTGTTGGACTATAGCACCAAAACAAGGGATCACACACTCGCTCACTTTTATTTAAAAGGAGAGCTCGAAAAAGACTGCTGAAGAGAAAGCCATGATGGCCACGGAGCAGGCAAGATTAGAGGCAGAGATCAAGAAGTATGAAGCGGCCTTCAAAAAGAAGAATGGACATCTACCTACAGAGAAAGACAAGTAAGGACTTCACTTAGATAGATTGCTGGAAACACCAGTGTTATATCTGTATGTATGTTTGAAGCAGTGTTTAACTATACTCACCATCAAAAGTTTAGACTCACTAGTTTACTCACCATTTACTTAAGTCAACTGTTCTAAAATAAATTTTGCAAAACTTTCCATACTGTTTAAAGGTACTGTTTACACATGAACTGATGTATTGTAAAACACATTTGTAACGTTGAAAAGATTATTGTCATGAGTTCAATAAATGATGAAACTCAGTGAAAATTGACGATTCTTTTTTATATATTCCTCCTTGGGGTACTTATAAGCATTTAAATGTCCATTTAAAATCCCTATGACAGTTGTAACAATATTTGAATAAAATATTTACAAAACAAAAACTACGTTTTGTCTTGTGAGACCACCCTTACAGGGCCCTCTGGCCCCCTACAGCCAAGAGCAGGTAACTCTAGACCGTAACCTCGTACCTCACTTTCCATGCTGTCGTTTCCCGACATAGACGTGGGTCCAATACAAGAAAGTTTTCTTTTCCCGGCGAGAATTATGAGTGGGTCAGAAACAGCAATTGTATGTATGGTTCTCTTTTTTCCCTGCATGGGCGATTTGAAGGCTTGTTCTGAACTTTTTCATTCATAATTTTTAGTTGTAACTTGGTACCTGTCGCGGTCGGCTCGCCGGGTGCGTGCCAAGATGGCGGCCAGGTACCTTCGCTAGCATCACTGTTCATTGGTTTCCCGTGTGGTTTTTCAATGTTACAGGTGGGGTTAGTAATTTTTACGTATATGTGGTTACATGTAGGGCGTTTCCACTGCTTGCATTTTCTATCTTACGATAATAAAAAGTCGTGGTTATGTCAGTGCGTATTATGGTTATTGTCAACTGTATGCTACGTTGTCGCATTAGTTGTGTCGCCCATGCGTGTTTTTTCATATATGTCTGTGTGTATGGGGTTGATTGCTGCACAGGTTGTTTACTTGTTGCAGTTTAAATCCTGTACTTCGTGCCTTGCGGCCATTCCCGTCAAGGACACACACGAGGTCTGCTTACGTTGCCTCACCCAAACTGACCATGAGGAAGAGGGGTGTGTGGCATGTGCCACTTTTACGCCTCAAACGATTAGAGCACGACGAGCGGATCTGCTGTTCTACAGCAATCTGATTCGGGCGGGGGGTGATATCTGGGCACAGGATCCCCCGTCCAAACGTTCACACAAAAAAAAGGGGTCTACGGGAGCCGCTTCCCATACGGAGCCGGCTCCCAAAAGAGCTAAAGGTTCCAAGGAGGCATCTAATACCAAACCTCAACTTGCTCCTGTCTCTTCCCCCCCCTGTTGTGTCGGCACCAGTTGTGCCCGTTGAATCACTAACCGCTTTATTCCAGGAACAGATGGCGTCAGTGAAATCTCTCATTGATACGGCGTTGGATGGGTTCCGTAAGGAGCTCACCGCGCCGGTCGTGGGGGGTGGATCTGACGCATCTGGGGGTTAGCTGCGGCCCGAGCTTAGGCTCGGGGAACGCGCCTCCCCCTGGGCAGCTTGATCCCGGCTTAGGCCGTGGAGATAGCGCCCTCGACACCTACGGGCGACCTCGCTTCGGGCGTAGGTCCGTCACAGGTGGCTGGCGCCGGCGATGCAGGGTTGCCCCTGGCTTCGCCTGGTGCCCTGACTGGCAGTCGCCTCGGCACTGCCCAGCTCGGGGACACCTCGGCGCCTGGCAGCCAGTCTGGGTTGCCCGGGAGGCCTGTCGCGGCAGGTTCCTCTCGGGCGCCTCGGCGACTTGGGGCGAGTTCTGCCCGGCTGGGCGACTCGTTGCTTCTGGCGCCTCTTGACCTTTATGGTCTTTCGGGTTCAGCCTCTGGTGTATCCTCGGCGGTCTCTCAGGAGTATGAGAGTACGGCTGCCGAGGATTATGCCGAGGTGGACATGGAGGACGATGGAGGGAGGGAGGAGCCGGAGGCGGGAGTGCCGTACTCCTTTGGCTCGTCTCTGAGGCAGGTGCGGGAAAAAATTGCCGAAGCCCTGCCCCAGGTGGCCGTTCCCACACAGGCGCCCGACCCCGCGGAGTTTAGGCTCCCGGGGGAGGCTTTCGCGCCTACCAAGGTCGCCGAGGCGCGCCTACGCATCCTACCATCACTGGTAGGTGAGGTGGTAAATCCTCTCTTGACTGGTTCTCGCTCGAGATTTGATCTGCCCGACGTTGGCAGGAGGTACCAGTTGGGAGAGGAGACGCTATTCGAACCACCAGTGGTGGACGAGTGCGTCTTTGCCTCAGTCACGTTAGGGGGGTCGTCCTCGTCTTCCCTGGCCTCGGCCAGGCAGGGCAGGCGCCTCCCCCCTTTTCCTGCTAATTCACTGCCGCTGAAGTCTGCGTACCGGTCATTCGAGGAATGTTACCGGTGCGCGGCCCAGCAACTCAAAGTAGCAGTCCACTCGGCCTACCTGTCTGCACTGCAGGGACAGCTGGTGGCTCACAGCGCTTGTGGCGCCGACTCATCGGAGTCGGTGCTCGCGCGCCAGCTCACGGACGTACACTCGCATCTGGCTAGGGATAGCATTCGGTGCTGTGCCAGCCAGATGATGGGTGCCGTCATGGGCTTGCGCCGCCTGTGGTTGTCTGTGGCGCGGTATTCGCCGGCCACACAACAAGCGCTCCTGTCATTGCCCTATACCATGGGATCCTCCCTGTTCCCTGGGGCATTGCAGGTAGTACGGGAGGCCGCGGAGGCTGTCTCTACCTTCAAAGACTCAAAGCCTTTGTTGGAGCAGCCCTCCGCTCCTCGCCAGCGGCCTTCCCCGCTTGCGTCCGCTTATCCTTCTGCCCCGGCGAAGGATGTTGCTAAGTGGACTGCCCCTTTGCAGTCCAAGCGGAGCAGGCGCGCGAGAGGCAAGGGCAAGCCTGCTCAAGCGCAGCAGCCTTTTCGGGGCAAGGGGAAGCCAGCCCCGGCTTCCCGCTGATTCCTTCCCCAGAGCCCTTGTTGCCCCCCACTCACGCAAGCGGAGACTTGCCGACTGTGGGGGTGCACTGCCTCCTGCCACACGTCCCTGTCGGCGGCCGGCTGTCCCTATTCCTCCGGGAGTGGGAGGCAGCCACCTCAAATCCCTGGGTCCTGTCCACGCTCAGGGATGGCCATTTGCCACAGTGGAGGCGAGATCCTCCGTCCTTCTCCGGGGTTCGGCACACGCTTGTGCCGACCTCCCGCGACAAGGCGGACGCGCTCCGTGCCGAAGTTCAGTCCTTACTGAACAAGGCAGCCATCGAGGTGGTTCCTGTGGGTCAACAAGGAGAGGGGTTTTATTCCACCTACTTCCTAGTGACCAAAAAGGACGGAGGGTTCAGACCCATTCTGAATCTCAGAGGGTTGAACCAGTTACTGGAGGTGCCGTCTTTCAGGATGGAGACACTCAGGTCAGTGATCTCCTCCGTCGAGACAGGGGATTGGCTTACGTCAATCGATCTCAAAGACGCATACCTCCATGTTCCAATGCACCCCGAGTTCAAGAAGTACCTCCGGTTCTCCTTCGACGGGACGTGCTACCAGTTTCGCGTGCTCCCCTTCGGCATCTCCACGGCGCCAAGGGTGTTCACCAAACTTATGCTAATCCCAGCTCAGTTAGCCAGGTCTCAGGGCAGGTGTTGTCACCCGTACCTAGACGATTGGCTTCTCAGGGCCTTAGGTCCTCAGTTAAGCAGAGCCTCCACACTGTGCGTGATGGATACTCTGGTGTCACTGGGCTGGATTATCAACCTCAAGAAATCAGACCTCGTTCCGACGCAGGATCTGATATTCTTGGGGGCCAGATTCAACACGGAGCTAGGGATTGTTTCCCTTGCTCCGGACCGCATCGTCAAAGTCCAGAGTACTGTTACACAGTTTCTCCAGTCGCCCAATGCGTCAGCCCGAACATGGCTTCGGTTGCTAGGCAACATGGCGGCGACAGTGGACGTGGTTTGGCGTGCGCGTCTGAGGATGCGACCAGTTCAGCAAGCGTTAGCGCAGCTGTGGTCCCACTCGCAGAGCTACGAGATTATTCTCACAACGCCCGAGTGGTTAATTCCTCACTTGCGATGGTGGACGGACGTCGGGAATTTGTCCAGGGGGATCCCCCTCGACACCCCGACACCTTCCCTCTCAGTTCAGACGGACGCCTCCCTCACAGGTTGGGGGTCCTGGGCGAGCACTCAGCCTCCGGCCTCTGGTCGGAGCGGGAAGTCAGCCTACACATCAATGTGTTAGAACTGAGAGCAGTCCGCAGGGTGTTCGAGTGCTTCCGGTGTTGGTGCAGGGCCATGTGGTTCGTCTAGAAATGGACAATCAAACGGCCATGTCTTACATTCTCAAGCAAGGCGGCACAGTGTCTCCGTCGCTCCTTCAGGAGGCGTGGCAGTTTCTACTGTGGTGCGATCAGTTCAACATTCGGGTTTTGCCTGTTTATCTCCGGGGTAGACAACGTCCGTGCAGATGCACTCTCACGGCGTATACTAGCCCCACACGAGTGGATGCTCGACCGGAGATATTCGGGATTATCTCCCAGTTGTTCGGTCGTTCCAGGTGGATCTGTTTGCGTCTGGGGTGACGAACCAGATTCCTGTGTTTTGCTCCCGGATTCGGATCCGGGAGCGTTAATAACGACGCTTTCAGCTCGATTGGACGGACAGGGTACTGTGGGCGTTCCCCCCGATACCACTGATTTCCAGGGTCCTGTCACAGCTGACCGCACAACCAGCTCGGCTACTTGTGCTTCTGGCACCCCTTTGGTCGGCACAACGCTGGTTTCCGGTAATTCTCAGGTTTCTGGCTCAGCCTCCTGTTCTATTACCTTTTCGACCGGACCTCCTATCCCAGAACGGAGCCCCACCGAATCCCAGGATTCAGTGGGTGGCCTGGCCGCTGTCAGGGGATCGCCTCCGTCTTGGCGGAATTCCTGCACCAGTTGCAGACACAATTCTGGCTTCAGCGGAGGGATTCGACAAACGTTCAATATGAGGATAGATGGGCCTGTTATTCGCGCTGGTGTGTCAACAGGGGGATTCTTGATCCCTTTTCTACAGATTTAGTCTGTGTTTTAGAATTCCTCCAGTCTCGGTTGGACGCCGGTCCAGCGGCTTCAACTGTTCGAGGATATTCTACAGCTATTTCTGCGTTTCATATTCCTGTTGACGGTGCTCTCTTGGGGCAGCACCCTCTGGTACAGCGCTTTTTAGCAGGCGTGGACAGAATCCGTCCGGTTGTCCGGGCGGATTAGTCCCCGATGGGACTTGTCAATCGTTCTTGATTGGCTGTCCGGTCCACTGTTTCACAATCTGTCGGCTCTTTCACTCCAGCTGTTGGCGTGGAAGACGGCGTTTCTTGTGGCGGTGACTTCAGGCAGGCGGGTTGGCGATATTCACGCAATGTCGGCCCGATCCCGCTTACTGTTTTCACAAAGACAGAGTTAGCATACGGCTGCCTGATACTTACCGTCCCTAAGAAGGATAGTCCCTTCCATGTGACGGCGCCTATTGAGCTCCCAGCTTTCACTCAGCCTTCCTGTCCGGTACCTCTCTACGACGTGCTCCGTCTTAGATGTCCGTAAAGACACTTAAGGCTTATATCAAACGAACAAGGGGTACCCGTGGGGTAACCAATTGTTTTGTTGTTATGGCGGGGTTCAGGCTGGTCTTCCGCCACCAAGCAAACCATTTCTCGGTGGCTTGTCTCTGCCATACATATGAGCTATACTCAAACAGGGCGATCCCGCCTGTAGGGTTGAAAGCTCATTCGGTTAGGGCAGTTGCTACATCGAAAGCTTACGCTGCAGCCCTGCCCATTGAGGAGATCTGCTCCGCGGCTATTTGGAGCCGTCCCAGTATGTTCATCCGTCATTACCAACTTGACAGACTCTCCAGTGAGCGTGCTCGGTTCGGTCAGTCAGTTCTCTCCAGTGGGCATGGTTCCACCTCTCTAGCCGATTGAGCTTTCGAGGAAGTATGTGAACCATTCTATGCCAAATTTTTTAACACTGGTGTTGGGTTTTAAAAATCTTGTTTACATATTCCCTTGGTGACGGGTTTTATGTGGTGATGGTTTTTATTCCCATGTCTTTTGCATTCTGCTCTAGACTTTACTGGCCTTGGAAGCTTTGCTAAATATATTCATATTAAGGCATTTCGTTTCTGGCGGCTTATTGCGGGACCCTTATCTTCGTTTCCGAGTAGATTACGGGAAGGAGGGAGGGTGTGTCTCGTTAGTTTGCTTTAGCGAGGTTTCGCTGGGCAATTTACATATGTTCGACCCTGACCCTGGCTCATGCCCCCGCCTGATTGGCTATGGTGGACACGTGACCGGGTAAGTGTGCTTTTTCTGCTATAATTAGCTTGGGAAATTCCACTTCTTGTCGGGGGTGTTTTCTGCAGACAGAATGCCGCTCCTTAGCTCCGTCTTTAGGAGTCTGTCTTATGCTTATAAGTACCCCAAGGAGGAATATATAAAAAAGAATCGAACTAACCTGTAGAGGTTTCAGATTCTTTGAATATATTCCTCCTTGGGGTAATCTCACCCCACTCCCCACATTCTGTCTGATGTCGTTCAGCATGGAAAGTGAGGTACAAGGTTACGGTCTAGAGTTACCTGCTCTTGGCTGTAGGGGGCCAGAGGGCCCTGTAAGGGTGGTCTCACAAGACAAAACGTAGTTTTTGTTTTGTAAATATTTTATTCAAATATTGTTACAACTGTCGTAGGGATTTTAAATGGACATTTAAATGCTTATAAGTACCCCAAGGAGGAATATATTCAAAGAATCTGAAACCTCTACAGGTTAGTTCGAATTTGTAACAAAACTTTACACCAAAACGCAGCTTTTCACATGCATGACATTTGCACATGCTTTACAGCAATTTGATGCATGATCCTCGTGCAATTCATCTGCAAAAGGTTTTCAATTGGTTCCCCCAAGTTAGTGGAGAAATTCATCTTCGATGTAACCATACATATATACATAACATATAGTGAGTGCTTTAAGTGAGTCTAAACTTTTGATGGGTAGTATAGATATACTCACTCACTCACTCATTGACTGCAGGTCAGACTCAGCCAAGGAGATGTACACCCAGATGGAGGAGGTCAACACATTGGTGACCTCACTTGACAGGAAGATAGAGACCCTGGACCATGTCAAGGCTGGAAACGTTCCTCCACCGCCTGAAGTAGCGCCATTACCTGTTGTCATCAAAGACCCGGAGGTGAAGACAGTAGAGGTGGGTGTCGACACTAGGGAACTGCTCACAGTTTTCATGCTGCTCTTTGGGACATAGGGACATAGGAGTTTTTGTTTGTTGGTTTACCTCACACTTGGCGATAATTCAGCTATATGACTGCGGAACCAGATGATCCAGTGATTAAAAACATGAGCATTGATCTATTCATTTCGGATGTGATGACATATGTCAACCAAGTCATTAAATCCTGCCAGCTGATCACATTAGTCGACTCTCACGACAAGCATGGGCTGCTGGGATCAATTTTAATACAGATCTTCAAGAGCCAAGCATATAAGAGGAGGTTTCTCTATATGTGCTGTTGAATTCCTTATGGGTGCTGTTAACATTCAAATGTTGTTCAGTATATTAGTGTTCCCATCAGTGAGTGCTTCAATTGAAATTTGTATGTTTAATTTGAAAATGGTAACCTTTCTGATAAACAGACAGTCAGTCTGTATTTCAAATGCCAGTTGAATTTTCAAATCAGTGTGCACCTGTTTTTTACCATATGATAAACCAAAAAGTATGCATCATCAATATTTCATTCATGTAAAATGTTCAGGTGATGGTACCAGACCCATCAATTGTTGCTGCTCTGGAGAAGGCCCAACAAGAGTTATCTGCCCTCCAGACCCAACTTTCAGATCTACATCAAGAGAAGACATCACTTCACACACAGATCAGCTCTTTGAACACAGACCTGTCTGAAAGTAAGGGCAAGATCATGGAGCTGGAGCGCCTCCTGGCCGAGGGTGACACTTGTGATGGAGTTGCTGTAGCTGCAGCTGCTAATGTTGCTGCAAGTGCTGAGGTAAATACAGACACATTAGATGTCCACAAGAACTTAACTTCTTAGTTACGGGAACTTAGGTGGCCTTGTTTCTAATGCCCCACATTTCGCTGTCTAGAGTTGCCTCACTTTTACACCACTTTTAGCAATATTCCAGCAATATCACAGCACACTGGCGAACGCTTTAACCATTAGGCTATCTCCTCCTTCCTCCTTCTCTCTCTCTCCCCTCCCTTTCTCCTCTTTCCCCCAACGCCCCCAAAAAAAAAAACAAAAACCAACAAACAAACAACAACAACAAACAAAAAAAACAAAAAAAAAAACAAAACAACAAAACAACAACAACAAACAAACAAAAAAACAAAACAAAACAAAAACAAAAAACCCCCACTAACTTGACATGCGGCAATGCTGCAATACAACTGGAATACTGTTCAAAGTGGTGCTGAACCCAACTCACTCACTGGATTTTGTCTTTATCCTTGTATCAATAGTTTCATTAACATTGCACTCTCAGTTTATTTTGTAATTTGGTGTTTGGTTTTATGGTTTTATTTTACAAACGTATTGTGCATTTATCAGAATTTTTGATTGGACCTTATATATTATTAAGTTGGCATCAAAAGTCATTACGTTTATGTTCTTTCTGTTTACTTGATCTTTTGCACCAACTCATTTTGTTTCAGTCAGAAGAGAAGGTATCAGAACTTACAAGTCAGCTTGCAGAGAGAGATGATGTGAGGCTCATGTTCATTTGTAGCTACATATGTTTTAGAATGTCTCTGTTGATGGTGTAAATGTTTATAACCAAACTTATAGACAGCATTCAGTGTGAGTTGAATCGTCCAGATTTTTTTATCTACCAAATGTGATTGTTTATGAGGCATGTTATGGAAAAAAGGAGATCATCTATATTCTAAAATTATTTGAGGTGATTTATTTCAAACATTTCGTTATTGCAGGAGTTGGAACGTCTTCGCCGTGAGAACCGTGAAATGCAGAAAGACATGAAGAAGATGATTAAGCGATATGAGAAGCTCCAGGCCAAGCTGAAGAAGATGGAGGTGAACGAGGGAGCCAGTGCTCTCCTGCAGGTGGTTGTAGCGATGGTGAGTCTTATAGAACCACGTGTCAATATATTGACCTGAAGGAGATAGAGGTGAACGAGGGAGCCAGTGCTCTCCTGCAGGTGGTTGTAGCGATGGTGAGTTTTGTAGAACCAAGTGTCAGTATATTGACCTAAAGGAGATAGAGGTGAACGAGGGAGCCAGTGCTCTCCTGCAGGTGGTTGTAGCGATGGTGAGTCTTATAGAACCAGGTGTCAGTATATTATTGACTGAAGGAGATAGAGGTGAACGAGGGAGCCAGTGCCTCCTGCAGGTGGTTGTAGCTGATGGTGAGTTTTGTAGAACCAAGTGTCAGTATATTGACCTGAAGGAGATAGAGGTGAACGAGGGAGCCAGTGCCCTCCTGCAGGTGGTTGTAGCTATGGTGAGTCTTTGTAGAACGATGGTGAGTATTTGACCTAAGGAGATAGAGGTGAACCAGGGAGCCAGTGCCCTCAGGTATATTGACCTGAAGGGAGATAGAGGTGAACGAGGGAGCCAGTGCCCTCCTGCAGGTGGTTGTAGCTTATGAACGTGAGTCTTGACCTAGAGATAGAGGTGAATGAGGGAGAGTGTCAGTATATTGACCTGAAGGAGATAGAGGTGAACGAGGGAGCCAGTGCCCTCCTGCAGGTGGTTGTAGCGATGGTGAGTCTTATAGAACCAAGTGTCAGTATATTGACCTGAAGGAGATAGAGGTGAACGAGGGAGCCAGTGCCCTCCTGCAGGTGGTTGTAGCTATGGTGAGTCTTATAGAACCAAGTGTCAGTATATTGACCTGAAGGAGATAGAGGTGAACGAGGGAGCCAGTGCCCTCCTGCAGGTGGTTGTAGCGATGGTGAGTCTTATAGAACCAAGTGTCAGTATATTGACCTGAAGGAGATAGAGGTGAACGAGGGAGCCAGTGCCCTCCTGCAGGTGGTTGTAGCTATGGTGAGTCTTGTAGAACCAAGTGTCAGTATATTGACCTGAAGGAGATAGAGGTGAACGAGGGAGCCAGTGCCCTCCTGCAGGTGGTTGTAGCTATGGTGAGTCTTATAGAACCGAGTGTCAGTATATTGACCTGAAGGAGATAGAGGTGAACGAGGGAGCCAGTGCCCTCCTGGTTGTAGCATGGTGAGTCTTGTAGAACCAAGTGTCAGTATATTGACCTAAAGGAAATAGAGGTGAACGAGGGAGCCAGTGCTCCTGCAGGTGGTTGTAGCTATGGTGAGTCTTGTAGAACCAAGTGTCAGAACCCCTCCTGCAGGTGGTTGTAGCTATGGTGAGTCTTGTAGAACGGCCAGTCCCTATTGACCTGCAGGTGGGTGAGCGAGTAGCCAGTAGAGGTGAGCGAGAGCCAGTGCCCTCCTGTGAAGCTATGGTGAGGGAGCCAGTGCCCTCCTGCAGGGTGAGCGGTGGTTGTAGCAGGTGGTGAGTATATTGACCTAAAGGAGATAGAGGTGAACGAGGGAGCCAGTGCCCTCCTGCAGGTGGTTGTAGCTATGGTGAGTCTTATAGAACCAAGTGTCAGTATATTGACCTAAAAGAGATGGAGGTGAATAATGGATCCATTGCCGCCCTTACATATTAGTCAAGACAAACCATGAAACGAAATGATCTCTTTTTCACTTGTTCAATGTTTCATGTAGGCCCATGAGGTCCATGGCCAGGTTCCAACTGCTGCCCAAGAGGTGGACTCACGTCTCAAATCTGAAGAAGAAGACATGAAGAAACTGAAGGAGACGCAGAACGAGAATCAGAAGGCTCTGGACACCTGGGCCCAGAAGTACAAGAAGAAACACAAGAAGGAACCGACACCTGAGGATAGGTAAGATCGATGTTTCTGGTCGTGTGTATAATTCTTGATGGATGCGCAGATCAGTTTAGAATAATGTAGTTCAGCTGCTTCCTGGGGTGGTGGGGTAGCCCAGTGCTTAAAGCATTCGCTCATCATACCGAAGACCTGGGTTCGATTTCCGACATGAGTACAATCTGTGAAGCCCATTTCTGGTGTCCCCTGTCGTGATATTGCTGGAATATTGCTAAAAGCAGCGTAAAACCATACTCACTCACTCACTCAAATGGATTGTTTAATCAGGATTGTTCACAGGTCACAACCTTATAGGTTGAATGATGCCAGATGTGACAAATACATCCCATCGAACAGTGTCAAAATATATGTGAACATGAAAAGCTTTTAAGAAAATGAAAATAAATGTTAGAAACAATTTAATACAGACTAAAGTAAATAATGTTAATAAAATAGATATGAAGACAGATAAGTAAATATGTACTGCTTTGTGTCAGAGATGCAGAGTGTGTGAAGCTGCAGGAGGCAGTGGATGCCGTTGTGAAGGAGGTTGACGACAACGGGCGGAGACAGCAGGCTCTCACGATGCTGCAGACTGGGGTCATCAAGGTGAAGGAACTACAGCAGCAGCGACCAGTATCAGCTGCCAGGGTCGCCAAGGAGAAAGGTGGGGGCAGTCTAGTGCAGAGCATTACTGGGGACCTAGGGGCCATGGGGTAGCCTAGTGGTTAGAGCTTTTGCTCGTCATGCTGAAGACCCGTGTTCGATTCCCCACATTGGTACAATGTGTTAAGTCCCATTTCTGTTCCCCGCTGTGATATAGCTGGAATATTTCTAAAAGCGGCGTAAAACTAAACTCACTGACTGTCTACTGACAGGCCGGCACCAGTTTCTTCTTCTTCATCCTCAACTACTTATCTACTAATGTTACGCACACTAGTATCAGTATAACCCAACAGTATGACACTTATACCAAGAGTTTCACCTAGCATTCAGTGGTGCTTTATGAAATACATGAGTGAACTGGCCAGTTCCTCTTTTGCAAACAATTCTTTCAAAATTAAGGAGGACCACCTCTGTGGTGTAGTGGTTAGAGTGTCCGCGTGGAGAGTGGAAGGTTGCGGGTTCGATCCCCGACCGCGTCAAACCATTAATGGGTACAACAAGGACTGGTCGGCTTGGAGTCAGTATAATGTGTCTGAGTGGGGTATTCATGCTTCACTGCGGCATGGTATCTCAGTGGGCTAGCACTATTTAAACCAGCTTCAGTCTGGGCTAGTACAAGCAGCCGCACATACACATACACACGCATGCACGTCGTCATGAGCAAAATGGTCTCAAGCACGACGTAAAACCAAATTTCACCTCACCTCACCCTGAAATTTAATGTTGAGGTGGCACCATCAGTTTGGAGCAGTTCAGTTTTTTAGAAAGGTGGATCCTTTAATTACACCCAAAATTAAGGAACCACTTAAAAATTTATGAAGTTTCCTTAAATGTCAATAAGTTAGGCTTTTTGGGGATAGCCATATAATTACAGTATTCCTTGGTTACAAAAATTCCCAGGCCGAACATACACCCTTTTCAGGTGGCACTGTAGTGACATAGCAGAAATATTGCTAAGTACTCTCTGAAACCAATTCCTGTCAGATTATTCCCGATTGATGTATGTAGTTGGCTGGAGATAAAGACCTGTTTACCTTCATAACTGTCAGCTAATAGTTATGGTAATGCTATTCAAAGATAGAGTGTGTGTGTTTGTATACGAGTGTGCGTGCGTGTGTGCGAGTAGTACATGTATATATATTTGTGCCGACAATTTAATCATTAAAGATGCAGAACAAGAGATGTCAGCTCTTGATGAAAAAGTGATTGACCTTGAATCTGAGAATGAGGCTCTGAAGGAGGACAACTCTCGTGTGGAGGAGATCAAAAAGGTACTTGTTTCACCAGAATTACAATGTATAAGAGTGATTTGGGATTATTCTCTATTCTGTCAGAAAATGGAAAAATAGCTTCTCGTATTGAGATTTTGATGATTGGTTGAATAAGCTTGATGTTACTCCTTTATGTGGCATTTAGAAGTTGGTGATATGAAGAGGAACAGGTTATAAGGATTGACAATTTATTTATTGCAATGGATGATGCAAGGACAAGTGATGATCTCATGCTCGATGATAGTATTAGCACCTACACCGAAATGTCGCATTCATGTTGCAATAAAGAAGTTGTCAATCCATATAACTTGTTCCACTTTAAGCTTGATGTTTTGTCAGAATAGGATACATTCATGGTCTTTGTGTTCATTTCTTTGTATTAAAAAATCAATTCTTTTGGCATTAGGGAAACCAAATGGTTATTTCATCAGGCTGATTTGTGCCCTCATTGGCATAATGTGTAAATCCCTTTCCTTGTGTCCTCAACTTTAACTACTGTATTTCCTCTAATAAGTATGTTTTGTAAACGTATTCTCCCCTGATCCAAAAATAGATTGATTAAGGAATGGATCTTCTAGTCATAACTTCCTGTCCTCCACATGGCAGGGGTTGATGGATAGTATGTAATATCACTTACAATTAATTACACCCAGTAAGCGCAATAAGCACCTGGTCTCCAATAAGCACCAGGCCTCTACTAAGGGTTGGGTCTGAAAGTCTGTTGTAAAAGTAAGTGCCAAGGCACTTATTAGAGGAAATGTGGTATGTTAAACAATGTGAGCATTCATTGTCAAAGCTAATTTATGAGCGAATCCATAGCATTTCATTGACTAGCCAAGTAATTATTATCCCCCCGGCATGTAATCCGGGGGGATATAGTCGTCGCCCCGTCCGTCCGTAATCATTTTGTTTCCAGAGCATAACTCCAAAACAGTTCAATATTTTTCAACAAAAATTGGTAGATATATCAAACAGAACCTAAGGTGGTGCCTTTTGCTATTTGCAGATTTTTGCATTTTTTTTTTTTCCAGTTTCTTAGTCACAAAAGGGAGGGGTGGGTTTTGTTCCCGGAGCATAACTCAAGAACCGTTCAATATTTTTCAACAGAACTTGGCACATATATCAAACAGAACCTAAGGTGGTGCCTTTTGCTATTTGCAGATTTTTGGCATTTTTATTTTTTTCCGGTTTCTTAGTCCCAAAAGGGAGGGGTGGGTTTTGTTTCCGGAGAACAACTCGAAAACTTCTTAATATCTTTCAGCAAAACTTGGCAGATATATGAGGCAGATGTTAAAGTGGTGCCTTTTGCTATTTGGCAGAATTTTGGCATATTTATTTTCCTAGTTTCCATGGAAACGATTCGGACTTAGTCCCAAAATGGAGGAGTGGGTTTCGTTTCCGGAGCACAACTCGAAAACTTCTTAATATCTTTAAGCAAAACTTGGCATATATGTGAGGCAGATCCCAAAGTGGTGCCTTTTGCTATTTGCAGATTTTTGTGATTTATTATTTTCTCGGTTTCCATGGAAACTATTCGGACTTAGTCCCAAAAAGGAGGGGTGGGTTTCATTTCCAGTGCACAACTCGAAGAAGCGTTCCATGGAAACGATTTGGATTTAGTTTTAAAAAGAGTCAAGCTGGACTGTCAAAGTAACTGTCAAATGATTTGTTCTTTCAAATATGTGGGGGCCGGGGGGGATATGTCATCTTCTGATGACTCTTGTTTTATGTTGATCTCACCATAAACTACTGCATTACAACTGTTTTCTGAGTGGCTGATAACAGAGGAGAAGGGCTTGTGCTGCATTATTATCTACAATTTTTTACACTTTTTATTGTTTATTTTTTTCTTCAAAAGAATTTACTTAAATATTTAACAATGTTATATAGTTAAAGACTGACATAAGTTCATAAATAATGTTGAACACTAGTACAGTATAACATATGTCAATCACCAGGAACTGGAGAGTCAGGTGAAACTTCTCGAGGACCAGGTTGCACTACAAAGATCTCTGCCTGATGCTGGCCAGCCATCAGAGGTGAGTATGGCTGACTGTGAGGTTTGAGCTTCATAGCTCTTTATAAAATTGAGAAATGTCTCTACCTCAAGCCCATGACAGAAACACATGTATGTCATTGCCATAATTTGTCAAACTGAAAGCAAAGTATATTATAGTGCTTGTATGTGCAAATTTCCATGTGTGCTAGGACCTGTCTGATGAGATGACTAGCCTGCAGAAGGAGATTGATGCCCTGAACGCAACTCTCCTCGAGGAGAAGACCGCTCATGACAAGACTCGTGAGGAGTTGGAGGAAGCCAAGAATCAGGTTGCTGGAATGAACGAGGAGTTGGCTGGAGAGAGGGCAGACCTTGATGCCAAGATTGACAAGTACAAGAAGATCCTGGAGGCCAAACTCAAAGGAAAGGAGGAGGTGAGAGCAGTTATATATGGGATCTCAGTTACTTACTAATGTCATCATGTTATAAGGCAGTCTTTTAGGTTATGTTTTGCAATACATCTCTCTACCAGTTGTCTTCAAGATGTACATCCAGTCCAGATTCATCATGTATTTTAGGGGCAGTGGGGTAGCCTAGTGGTTAAAGCGTTGGCTCGTCATGCCGAAGACCCGGGTTTCGAATCCCCACATGGGTACAATGTGTGAAGCCCATTTCAGGTGTCCCCCGTCGTGATGTTACTGAAATATTGCTAAAAGCGGCGTAAAACTAAACTCAGTCAGTCAGTCATGTATTTTAAACACTAAGTGATAAGTCATACTAACCAATCCTAGGTCAGCCCTTTCACTTTACATTGTGCAAATCTGTATAATGGTATTCTTCCAATGGCTCAGCTTTTCGTTCTACAAAATTGAATTAAGTGCTACATATATGGTATGTATACCCATGTTGTGACATGGAAAGTAATGAAGTATTTCTGTTTACATAGGCATAGAGGTAGAAATCAACAGCCATATAAAATAGAACAGATAACTTGTGGAGAGATTGTTTGTGTGAAGACTCTACTAACGCTGTTTATGTGTGTTGTTTTAGGAACTGGCCAATGCGAAACAAAGAACTGAGGAACTGGAGGCAGAGAGATTGGCCAATGTGCCAGTGGACACTGCGAAGGAAATAAAAAATCTACAGAATAAAATTGTGAGGATCCCAGATTAACTACATGTGTAGTCAGGTTCTTCATAGTATAGTGTGAAGGAATAGGTAGATGAAATGGTTCAGTCACTACTGGGATTATTTCCCGTGTCAAGTGTCCATTAGCATACATCAGAGACCAGTGTTCAGTAATCTCTGGTCACTTCCTCAATATTCTGCTTATATAAGGTGTGTAATAGGTTTTGAATGACCTGACTCCAACTTGCTGGGATTGCCACTTCTCCCTCGCTCTCCCTTTGAATACTGTTCCCTGTCACTGGTGGGGAGTCCAGGTTAGAGAATCAGTCTCTAGCAACCAGTGCTGGCTGTATGAGGTGTCTCAACAGATACAACGGCTGGGTTTAATGACTTGTTGACGGCCTGTAAATGAACCCTGTTGGCATGGATTGCTGCTCACGATATCGATCACTGGATTGTCACACACACAGATGCACATAGAGAGTCACACTCACATGCAGACTCACACACACCATTAGCAGATCCAGGGGGGGGGGGGGGGTTCAGGGCTATCTGCCTATGCACACACTCACTCTAACACTCACACCACTCACTCACTCACACTCACTGTAATGGACTGGTCATCTGTCTTCAGTCTCTGCTGGAGAAGGACAAGACTGGTTCGGGTGCAGTAGTGGCAGGTCTTGAGGCACAGCTGACAGAGGTACAGAACAAAATGAAACTCTCCAATAAGAACTTGGAGACACAGAGGGCTACCAACAGGGACCTTGAGGTATGTGATCTGTAACAGCTCATTTCCTGTACACTAGATTCAGTGTGAAGGACTCTATGATATCTAAATATTCTCCCAATTCACACATATAATTCCACTTGCTTTTTGTTGGTCCAAGGGAAATTTTCTTGTATACCGTATATGACCGACTATAAGTCGGATCTCACTATAAGTCGGGCCCCTTTCTCAACCCTCTAAATTCTTACTAAAACCATGTAACTCAAATATAAGTCGACCCCTTTCCCTGTATGTATTGGTTTTGGGTAGATCAACGTCGTGACTGTTCAACACTGTAACATGGCGAACGTAAACACGTGTTTATCTTTTGTATACCTGAAACTTCTGTTTATTTTGAGAGCAGATTTCTGATTGACTAATGATAAAATGAAAGGCCAATCAACAGAAGCCTTACATAACCAAGAAAGGTTGTGTTTGTGTGAAATGTTTTTCAACTTTGTTTAAAAAGTGAGCGTATGTGTAAAGACTAACTATCATTGAAAACACATCATATAAATGTTACTAGATTCAAATATGTTTGATGCGGAAATTATGATGTGTAAATATTTCTGTAAATGTGCTTCAAAATGATATTCCTGTATCAAAAACTGTTCAGTTGGGAACACGCATTGTGTGGGATGCATTGAGCGAACGCTACTGTACAACCGAGACTGATCGAATGACACAGATATTTGACTTCGATGTAATTTCTTGATTAATATCATCTGTAGTATTTATTAAATTATTAACAGTATTTTTCAAAACCATCACACAAAACTGCCACAGAATACAAAGTTTACTTTATGTGAAACTTTCTTTCAAGTCGTGTCACGTGGCCCAAATTTATCGATCGATAACAAAGTAAGTAAATAGTTGTGATCAAAATATCTGATTAAATTTAATTTAACGTTTATATTATGAAATATATTTTACAAAAGACAAACAACAAAATTTTATATTTTATGTTTTATTTGTCCCACGATGTCATTTACCTTTGGAAACGTTGTCAGTATGTGTATGCTTCCTGCTTCCGGTGTAAACATTGCCAGTTGAGTTCGCTGGGCTGGCAGATTCACTCACCTGACCTCTGGAATTTTTGGGGTAGATTAATGAACTCAATTATAAGTCGGGTCTGATTTTTTAGCTCCTTTTTCTGGTATCAAATTTCCGACTTATAGTCGGTCATATACGGTAGGTATTTGCTGCATGACACCGTGGAGTAGTCACTCACTCACTCATTCAGTACAGTAGATTTCAGTGTTGTAATACTGATTACTCTTTACTAAATGTAATAGACTGAACACAATTTTACTAGAATTGCAGACAAGTTCAGATGAGGAAATAGTGTACTGAGAACTTGAAAGGCAACTGATTCATTGTAAATATAGATATGCTCCATACTGTAAGTTTTGCCATTTGAAGTGGAGACATTATTTCTATGTCATTTGGGGAATCATTTATTGTCAGTTTGATTTATCTTATAAAACTTGACTTACGGACAAGTAAGTTGTTTGAATGATCCGATTTAAGCTGGGTCTTCAGTCAGGACCAGCCTAGTCCACCTGCTGTCAAATTAGACAGCCCCTCTATAATGTACAGTAATAGGTTTCTCTTTCAGGCTCTCTTTTATATGAATGTGTAATTGTATATGCTTACATCACAGAGCAAGGTGAAGGCCGCACGGACAGAGAAGGAACAGGCTGTCAGGGAACTAACCAATCAGCTAGAGAAGAAGGAACTCCAAAGATCAACACTGGAGACCAAGGTAGGGGAGACTACTCTTTCATCAAAGCTCAGTTTATTTCCATCACCTGGAAATAGAACTGGTTTTATTGTTTGACATTCACAAGACAAGATGAAAAATGGACATTGACAGTAATAACATCAACTAAACAAACCACACAACTCAGCAAAGGGCAGACCTTACTTATAAATTTTTTTGAAGTCATGCTGATGTTTGAAGATGTTTTGTTACTGAATATGAGCACCATACATGTTATTGTTTTATATTAGGTGAAGCAACTGCAGGCCCACGTTCCAACCAAACCAGTGAGTACTCCCTTTTTCATGCCAGAGCTAAACTTTTATGAATGATGATCGGAATAAATCCCAATATTAAGAACTGATTCTGAATCCTTGTACACCTGATGGAGAAAATGGTATAAAAGAAATACAGGGAAAGTATTTGGCACTTACGTTCACACCAGAAGCAATCTGCTCCAAGTGAAGGATGTCTGCTGGCCTGTTTTGTGGTTACAACTGTTGTATACTATTGTTTGAAGTTATTATAGTTAATTTGTCATTGCATGATGGACTGACTCATGTAATACGTGGATTTGGTGATCTTTAACCTCTTTTGAGCAGTATGTATCAGCATTTACAATATATGCCAAATATGAAGGATATGATTTTATGGATATCAGCTTGTTGTTTTCTGCAGAGAGTGATGTTTTGGTGTAGATTCTTATCAAGCTAACAGTGATAGAATTAATACCGAAACATTACTTTATGGATTAACAAGCTGTTATCCATAAGGTTGTATGCTTCATATTTGACTCACAAACTTCTGGAATGCCGACCAAACAACATATGCCAATCTGTCGCCAATATGTAGCAGTGCAGACAAGAAGCACAGATATACAACATTACAAATCAAACAAAAAATTCATGTATTAAGACTAGCTCCAGCTAATTCTTTGGACAAGTCCATTGTTCGAAGCCCTGTAGGAATGGGAAATGTCACTGCACCTTAGAGGTTAGGGGCAATTTGTACATGCTATTCATCCATTTTCTAAAAAAGGTTTCAAAATCATCTCTCTCGTTTTTAAGATGAACATTGTCCATTAGAAAGTTAAATCATCTTTGAATTCTGAATACATGTTGAATATGTCCAGTTTAAGAAATATAATTTTCTTCTTAAGATGAACATTGCCCATAGGTGGTTAAAACACATTAGAAAGTTAAATCCTCTTTGAATGATGAATACATATGTAATATATCCAATTTGTTTTTCTAGAGAAAAATATATAAAAAATTGGATAAGATCTTGGTAAGTGTTTACCTTGTAGAAAAAACAACTCAAGTCACAAATAGCATCCAGTAGCATGATGGATGTTTAGTACATTGTTTTCTAGCTTGCTACCACTGTGTAGAGTGGAATGTCACCGTAGCCAGGTCATACAGCAACATGCATGTCACATAACACTGGAGAGCGACATGCTTGTATATAGTTGTATGTGTACTTTGTTGTGTCTCGGGGTAGACTTTAAGAATATTTAACATTTGTGCAGTAAACATAGTAGATGTTTAAGGATATACAGAGTATTGAGTGGAATGTCACCGTAGCCAGGTCATACAGCAACATGCATGTCACATAACACTAGAGAACGACATGCTTGTATATAGTTGTACGTGTACTTTGTTGTGTCTCGAGGTAGACTTTAAGAACATTTAACATTTGTGCAGTAAACATAGTAGATGTTTTAGGATATATTTCACTTGTAGAGAACCAGGGCCCCATTACACAAAGCAATATTAGTGTTGTGATTGCTGTAAGCTTTAGTTAAAGTATTGGAGTTAAATCATCTTAGCACTAAGATTGCTTTGTTGAAGAGGACCCAGGTAATTTGTTTCATGTCTTAGCAGTTCAGTCTACACATTTGTGACATAGGGGGATTCTGTGGGGTTATTTTGCTGATAGATTTTAATGAATAATCAATAACACAATATTGCTGCATATGTTTAACTTTTAGCCAATCCAGTAGTTTGTTACTTGTCTTAGAGGTTCATGTATGTACTTGTTACATGAGTAGGGGCTACATTGTTTCATGGTATCCCCTTGCAATCAGCTCACATTGTGAAATATGTTTGTTCATTACCACTGAATCTGCATGTCACAAATTTCAAGGGAGCAACCATTTGATTTACAAGTGTAAGGGTGATGTTTTGACCAACATTTTCTATAGTTGTTTTTTTCAATTGCTCAGGAGCTCAGTTATATTTCCAATGTAGACAATTGCACAATTGCATTTTTAAATAAATGAAAATAACAAACTATTATTTGGACACTTTATTATACTTTGCATGAAAAGGGCACTGTATTTATTTTTTTGTCTAGACACATGGGGCATTTAAAATAGGGGCATGGTTATTTATTTGTAGAAAATTCCCCCCTCCCCCAAAAATGAACTGGTTGTTCCCAAAACCTTGAACCACAGACAGTGTGCGTACCCAGTATTATATTTGTTTAAATCAAGATGATAAGTATGCCTCTCACAGCCAAGAGCACAACAGGAACTTATGAACCATACATTAAACATTTACTGGTAGTTGATTTGTTTGGTCAGTGGAAAACAAAATTGTCATACTTTTGTTAGTAAGTTATGTTTGTTAAAAATTTGGCCAGAAGGATTACTCAGATGAATTTTGTAGATATTAAATTAAGAAATATGTTTACTTTAACCCAATGTGTGGGGTGATAAATATGATCTATTATAGTGAAAGCATGAGGATACTTACTGTATGGTAGTAATATGACATGAGTAATAAATTGTCATATTAGTATTAATATCATATCATAAGACTTTATTGTTGGCACCCTATACTAAGGAAATATGTAAGTATTGCAAGGGGATTATTCTTGGTGAATGTCAATTTGCTTGTGTCTGTGGTTGTGATGTATGTATATGGATGGGTCACTAACACATCATGGTCTGCTTTCACTATAGGCAGGAGCGGTCGCACCGGCAGCAGGAGTAAGTACAGTTATTCAAGATATCCTAACCATCCCCATCTTTGTCAATGTCTGTCCTACAATTTCTGTTAATCATATAACTTTTGGTGCATGGTAGTTTTGTGTACCAACACATTCTGAAACCTGTTTTTCAATAAGAAAAAATATCCTTTCCTGTAAGTCATTAACTTAAACCTTACTACCTTTGTTGTCTGTTATGTAATCTCAGGTCCTAAAGTGGTTAAAGGTGCAGTAATTTGCAATGCTGAGTTATGTGCCTTAGTTGTGCCAGGATATGGGGCAGTGGGGTAGCTTAGTGGTTACAGTGCTGGCTCGTCAGGCCGAAGACCGGGTTTGATCCCCCACATGGGTACAATGTGTGAAGCCCATTTCTGGTGTCACTGGCCATGATATTGCTGGAATATTATTAAAAGCAGTGTAAAACCCGACTCACTCACTGTGCCAGGATCAGCAAAGTATATAGTCCTTGGCTGGTCTTGATCAAAATCATGCATGGGGAATTTCACTAAAAAAATCCTGTAAGGTCTTTGTCACTTTCCTGTAACAATAGCTTTTGAAAAACCTACATCATTACATCATGAACAGTACAATTTGAAACTTTACTTGTGACATAGGTCTATTTTTGTTTTGCAGTTTGTCATATTATATTTTTCATTAGAAATTAATATTCTATTCTGATTAATATTAAAAGTACAGTAAGAACAGACCTCTGTCTCAAGGTCTAATTTTATCATAACCACCAGAGATCCCCTGTTGACTGTCCCCTGTACATACCAGGGTAGCCCCACCCACCAGAGATCCCCTGTGTGACTGTCCCCAGTACATACCAGGGTAGCCCCACCCACCAGAGATCCCTGTTTGACTGTCCCCTGTACATACCAGGGTAGCCCCACCCACCAGAGATCTCCTGTTTGATTGTCCACTGTATGTACCAGGGTAGCCCCACCCACCAGAGATCCCCTGGGTAGTCCCCACCCACCAGAGATCTCCTGTTTGATTGTCCACTGTATGTACCAGGGTAGCCCCACCCACCAGAGATCCCCTGTTTGATTGTCCCCTGTATGTACCAGGGTAGCCCCACCCACCAGAGATCTCCTGTTTGATTGTCCCTGTATGTACCAGGGTAGCCCCACCCACCAGAGATCCCCTGTTTGATTGTCCCCTGTATGTACCAGGGTAGCCCCACCCACCAGAGATCTCCTGTTTGTTTGATTGTCCCCCACCAGATATCTCCAGATTGTCCCCTGTATGTACCAGGGTAGCCCCACCCACCAGAGATATCCTGTTTGATTGTCCCCTGTACCCCACCCACCAAAGAGATCTCCTGTTTGATTGTCCCCTGTCCCCTGTATGTGACCAGGGTAGCCCCACCCACCAGAGATCTCCTGTTGTCCCCTTGTCCCCCCTGTGTATGTACCATGGTAGCCCCACCCACCAGAGATCTCCTGTTTGATTGTCCCCTGTATGTACCATGGTAGCCCCACCCACCAGAGATCCCCTGTTTGATTGTCACCTGTATGTACCATGGTAGCCCCACCCACCAGAGATCTCCTGTTTGATTGTCCCCTGTATGTACCATGGTAGCCCCACCCATCAGAGAGATCCCCTGTTTGATTGTCCCACCTGTATGTACCATGGTAGCCCCACCCACCAGAGATCCTGTTTGATTGTCCCCTGTATGTACCATGAGCCCCACCCACCAGAGATCTCCTGTTTGATTGTCCCCTGTATGTACCAGGGTAGCCCCACCCACCAGAGATCCCCTGTTTGATTGTCACCTGTATGTACCATGGTAGCCCCACCCACCAGAGATCCCCTGTTTGATTGTCCCCTGTATAGCCCCACCAGGTTTGTAGCCCCACCCACCCAGAGATCCCCTGTTTGACTGTCCCCTGTATGTACCATGGTAGCCCCACCCACCAGAGATCCCCTGTTTGATGTGTCCCCTGTATGTACCATGTGTAGCCCCACCCACCAGAGACCCACCAGATATCCCTGTTTGATTGTCCCCTGTATGTACCAGGGTAGCCCCACCCACCAGAGATCCTGTTTGATTGTCCCCTGTATGTACCAGGGTAGCCCCACCCACCAGAGATCTCATGTTTGATTGTCCACTGTATGTATCAGGGTAGCCCCACCCACCAGAGATCCCCTGTTTGATTGTCTCCTGTATGTACGTAGCCCCACCCACCAGAGATCCCCTATTTGACTGTTCCCTGTATGTACCAGGGTAGCCCCAGTCCCCAGAGATCCCGTTTGACTGTCCCCTGTATGTACCATGGTAGCCCCACCCACCAGAGATCTCCTGTTTGATTGTCCCCTGTATGTACCAGGGTAGCCCCACCCACCAGAGATATCCTGTTTGATTGTCCCCTGTAATGTACCAGGGTAGCCCCACCCACCAGAGATATCCTGTTTGATTGTCCCCTGTATGTACCAGGGTAGCCCCACCCACCAGAGATATCCTGTTTGATTGTCCCTGTATGTACCATGGTAGCCCCACCCACCAGAGATCTCCTGTTTGATTGTCCCCTGTATGTACCAGGGTAGCCCCACCCACCAGAGATCCCCTGTTTGACTGTCCCTGTATGTACCATGGTAGCCCCACCCACCAGAGATCCCCTGTTTGATTGTCCCCTGTATGTACCAGGGTAGCCCCACCCACCAGAGATCCCCTGTTTGACTGTCACCTGTATGTACCAGGGTAGCCCCACCCACCACATATCTCCTGTTTGATTGTCCCCTGTATGTACCATGGTAGCCCCACCCACCAGAGATCTCCTGTTTGATTGTCTCCTGTATGTACCAGGGTAGCCCCACCCATCGGGTTTCCCCTGTTTAATTGACATCTGTATGTACCATGGTAGCCCCACCCACCAGAGATCCCCTGTTTGACTGTCCCTGTATGTACCATGGTAGCCCCACCCACCAGAGATCCCCTGTTTGACTGTCCCCTGTATGTATCAAGGTAGCCCGACCCATCGGGTTTCCCCTGTTTAATTGACATCTGTATGTACCAGGGCAGGGCAGCTCCAGCTGACAAGGGTCTGAAGGATCAGCTGCTAGTGATGAAGCGAGAGAACACATCTCTCAACACACGCATCAAGCAGATGGAAGTAGATGCCAAGAAGCAGGGCAAGTCAGATGGAGACTCTGCAACTGATGTGAGTCACAACTGAACCATCTGTGCTGCATCATGTTATATTAGCTTATAGTTCTGCACTCATACAATAGTGGTTTCCAGAATCTATTTTGTTTTAAAGATCAAGATGTGTATTGCTCTATTGTATCATGAAATGTTAGTTTCAAAACAAGTTGTCACATATTTATATGTAATATCCTTTAATTTGCAATTTCAATTTCCATCGTTCAACAGAAGAACTTGATGAAGCGGCATGAGAAGATCCTCAAGGAGCTTGAGAAGAAGCTGGAATGGGAGAAGAGTCGAACTGAGAAGCTGACAGAGAGTCTGAAAAACAAGGAGGAAGAGGCTAAGGAACTGGGCAAGGTCAGCTTCAGTTGGATAAATTTGGTTTTTACAGTAGAAGAAGTGTAGGAACCAGGGTTAAAAATCTGGGCAAAATGTATACATATGTGCATGAGGAGTTTAACACATGAACATGAATACTAAGCATTGCATGAGAATAGTGTTGTGTTGAAGTTGAAGGGACCTACATAAATACTCTGGATTATCCAAGGTCTGACACCATTGCAAAATAAACGCTGCTTATTACTTTTATCATCCTTAGTGCTGTTATTGGTGTAACAAACCATTGTCATATTTCTGATGTGTGGTGGTTGAACTGAAAGTATTAATCCAATATATAAATCCCCAAATCTTCTTGTATTCTGTCAGACATGCAACAAGCAGGAAACTGAGTTGAAGAAACTACGAGATGAACTTGCCGCTCTTGGAATTGCTGCTAAGGAAGGTGTGGAGGCAGCAACCAAGGTCAAAGACATGGAGAAGGACTTCAAGAGACTAACAGAAGAAAATAAAACACTGACTGAGAACTTCAACAGTGAAAGGGTCAGTTAGTTTTAATGTCAAAGTTGGTGCTCTAATTTAGTGTCAAGGCACTGTTGGCCTCACTGCCTTTGCGAAAGTTTCATGCTTGGGTGGTCCAGAAACCAATAATCATGGCCATAATCCTGGTTTGATTTTGTTTCAAATTGCTCATGACATTCTCCAAAGTGGTAAATGTCTGAGACTTTCATGACTTCCAGACTATGCAACAGTTCGAAGCAGGGCTTAGCCCAAGTCATTTGCTCACTCACTCACTCATGTTACCCTAATGAGAGCGGAGTGGTAGCCTGATGGTTAAAGCGTTCGCTTGTCATACTGAAGACCCGGGTTTAATTCAACACATGTATACCATGTGTAATGCTCATTTCTGGTGTTATAATATTGCTAAGAGCAGCCTAAAATCATACTCAGTGTTTATTACCCTAATGTTTGTGTTACCGGCAGGTCTTGAGGAAGAAGTACTACAACATGGTGGAGGACATGAAGGGCAAGATCCGCGTCTACTGCCGTGCTCGACCCCTTAGTACCTCAGAGAAAGATAGGGTACGTGTTCACCGCCAGTATTAAGACAAATTGGGATTTTGGAGAAAGGGGGTGCACATAAATCATGAAGTCCAAAGATTAGGGGGAAATGCTCCACAATGAAACATTCTTCAGGGGAGAGGGGGTAGTGCATCCACTCTGGATCCGCCCCTGACCATAATGTAGTCCTTCACAGTTGAATAATTCTCCTCTTTATATGTGTAAGCCTAAGCATAACACTCATCTCTGCTTTGGAAGAGACTAGGTGTTCATGTCTATATGTGTCTACAGGGTAACTTCTCCGTGCTGAGGTCGGGCGATGAGTACTCTATAGAGGTGTCCAGTCAGCGTGGCCTTAAGGAGTTCCAGTTTGACCAGGTGTTTATGGAGTCCAGCACACAAGAGAAGATCTTTGAAGACACCAATGTGAGTACCAAGTTGTCTCCATGTCTACAATTCCTCAACATCAAACTCCAATGCCTCTCTGGGTCAGTTTGAATAGCTTCAAATTTGTTGATATGAGACTAAACAATACCTTGGTATTCAATCACTCTGCAATGTCCTTAGGAGTTTTTGAATTTGTTGGATGATGAAGATAAAAGACCCATTAAAATTTGCGAAAAAATAATCAAAATGTGTTGATACTATACTTGTCCCCAGCAATTACATTGAACAGTTGTTGTTGAAAGTTGCATTGTATATTCCCACAGAACCTGATCCAGTCGGCCGTGGATGGCTACAATGTGTGTATCTTTGCCTACGGTCAGACCGGCTCTGGCAAAACGTTCACCATGATCGGAGACAAGGAACAAAACCATCCTGGCATTGCTCCCAGAGCTTTCAACAGGATATTTGAGCTGGCAGAGGAAAACAGGTTGGTTATGGGATACATATACAACAATAGTCAAAACTTGTGCTACCGCTGTCAGTGAACAGAATTAAACAGGAAAGTCAAATGGTCCTTGTCATGACCCTGAAGTTAAAGTTAAACATTTATGGGTTGCTTGATTCAAATACCATTGGAGATTTACTCAAAGGTCCCACACCTTCCCTCCCTCTCACCCCAACTCCTCACCTCCTTTACTGTATATTATTCTACATTTTTGTGCCTTTCCCTAGACATCTTCAGGGATATCAATCTTGCCATTGTTGTCACTGATGTACAATATGAACTATTTGCAATGTGTGTGCCAGGTCGAAGATGTCCATGAGGGTGACCTGCTACATGATGGAGCTGTACAACGAGAAGCTGATCGATCTGTTTGGGAGGCCAGGGCATCTGGATGATGTAAGTCTAGAAACTTCATTTTAGGTCCTGTATTCTTAAGAGCTATTAATCGAACAAATTTTCAGAATAAGAAGAAAACAAGCAAATAATGACAAATTGAGGTGAATATGTAACTAGTCAAGCAGTGTATTTGCATATGCTGTAATGAATAAACAGACTGACAGGGAATCAGTTCTCATATATATATGTATGTTGAAGGCTTCAATCTGTGACACATTACAGACTGGCAAGCATTACAAGTATTATTTGATAATATGAACACGGAAGGATTTCCTAATGCTTTGGCAATATTCAAAATGATAAATGAAATAACCATTCTATGCAAAACTTTTATGTGAATGTCAGAATTATCCCAGATACTTTCCTGATATCCCTGTGATTTAGGAAATAATACAGTTGATGTTGCGATACCACTTTGTGAAATAGTTTGGGAATGATTGTTGACGAGTATGTCATGATTTCCAGTGTTATTTGGTACAGGATATATACACCTACTATGAAAAGAAATAGTGCAGTTCCTTAGGAATCCCAGTGATTGTGATTGTGATTCTAGATTTGTCAGCTTCATTCTTACTTGTGGGTTTCACCACAATTGTAAATGTCTAAGATCTTCAACACTTTTGGCTCTCCTCCCTCAGTAAGCCACCATTAACACACCATTATGTGCTGGTAACTGAAATAGTGTTAAGTCCAACTGACTTGTGTTCAGGACAAGCTGGACATCAAGAAGGACAAGAAGGGCATGGTGTTTGTCCAGGGGGCCGTGGTGAAGGAGGCCTCCAACACCAAGGAACTGTTTGCATTGTTTGAGGAGGGGTCAAAGAACAGACACACAGCTTCCACAAGTGAGTTCTGGTCACAGGGACTTGAACAGTACAGGCTTATCACTGAATATGACACTTGGTCCATTCATTGCACAGTTTATTCCACAGTTAGACTTGGTCCTTTCATTGCACAGTTTATTCCACAGTTAGACTTGGTCCATTCATTGCACAGTTTATTCCACAGTTAGACTTGGTCCATTCATTGCACAGTTTATTCCACAGTTCGACTTGGTCCATTCATTGCACAGTTTATTCCATTGTCAGACTTGGTCCATTCATTGCACAGTTTATTCCACAGTTAGACTTGGTCCATTCATTGCACAGTTTATTCCATTGTCAGACTTGGTCCATTCATTGCACAGTTTATTCCATTGTCAGACTTGGTCCAGTCATTGCACAGTTTATTCCATTGTCAGACTTGGTCCATTCATTGCACATCCATTGTCAGATTGCACATTCATTGCACATTTTATTCCATTGTCAGACTTGGTCCATTCATTGCACAGTTTATTCCATTGTCAGACTTGGTCCATTCATTGCACAGTTTATTCCACAGTTAGACTTGGTCCTTTCATTGCACAGTTTATTCCACAGTTAGACTTGGTCCATTCATTGCACAGTTTATTCCACAGTTAGACTTGGTCCATTCATTGCACAGTTTATTCCATTGTCAGACTTGGTCCATTCATTGCACATTTTATTCCATTGTCAGACTTGGTCCATTCATTGCACAGTTTATTCCATTGTCAGACTTGGTCCATTCATTGCACAGTTTATTCCATTGTCAGACTTGGTCCATTCATTGCACATTTTATTCCATTGTCAGACTTATTGGTCAATTCATTGCACAGTTTATTCCATTGTCAGACTTGGTCCATTCATTGCACATTTTATTCCATTGTCAGACTTGATACATGCACATTTTATTCCATTGTCAGACTTTGGTCACTTTTATTCCATTGCACATTTTATTCCATTGTCAGACTTGATACATATATTGCACAGTTTATTCCATTGTCAGATTTGGTCCATTCATTGCACAGTTTATTTCATTGTCAGACTTGATACATTTGTTGCACAGTTTATTCCATTGTCAGATTTGGTCCATTCATTGCACAGTTTATTTCATTGTCAGACTTGATACATTTATTGCACAGTTTATTCCATTGTCAGACTTGATACATTTGTTGCACAGTTTATTCCATTGTCAGACTTGATACATTTATTGCACAGTTTATTCTATTGTCAGACTTGGTCCATTCATTGCACAGTTTATTTCATTGTGATGCAAACAGAATCTGTATTTGTCTTCTTGTGGTGTAGGAGTATCACACTCCTGTGTTGTTGAGATGTTCCCGAGTCATATGGGTATGTGACTACTTAATTGTGTTTTCAGAGATGAATGCTGAAAGTTCCCGCTCCCATCTTGTTATTGGTATCGTGATGGAAAGCACAAACAAGGTCACTGGACAGGTACTCAAGGGAAAGGTAAGGTTGAAACATGTTGTGTGGAAACAATACTTTCAAACGTATAATCTATTGCCTGATATATTTTCATTTCATCATCCCCACATTCCTCAGTGATGGTCCCCAGCACCCAGTGCTTCATGGCAATCCTCCTCAAAGGTGGAAAGTGTGTCAAGTCAAATTTAGTACTGTCAAACACCCTTGTGTCAAAATTAGAGGGACCTGATTAAATACAAGGTGCGACATAACCAAAATATGATGAATAAAGAAAGTGTATAAAGGGACCAAACTATTTAATACAACCACATCAAAGTTTGACACAACAGTGTTTGATTGTATTTGGCTGTTTCTATGTCACCATGACTTTGTATCATGGATTATTGCTTGTGCTGTCAACCACAATTCTTTTTCATAGAGATCTTCCTTGGGGTATATATATGCATTTTCTACGACTGAAAATGTCATGTGACAGTTGTAACAATGTTTTAATAAAATATTGTACAATAAATAAGAAAGGCTTTTTATTTACTTTTGGCCCCCCTCCCACCACCACGTGGAGTTACCTCCCCTACCTAGCCCAAATCATCTTTCTTTCTGCTGCCACGCTACGTGCCACACATGCTGTGCAAGACTGATTTGAGGTAATGCCTCAGACATAGAATACTGTATGTATTTTGTCTTTATTATGTTCTGAGGAACGTTTTATTGACTTTGGCAGTTATTCATATCTTATTTATTGTGATGTAGAAATGTAACTATGCATTTTTTCCTTGTGGTTTATGTAAAAAATTGCGATTCCATGTCGGGAAACTTGCGTTGGTTCGAGTTACTTGAAACTTGCTTATTAAAACAATGTTTCATATAGCGTCCTCTATTCAGTGTTTTATACGTGCTTGTATAGTCTTGTGTATAGTTGACTTGTTGTATTGCTTGTGCTGTCAACCACAAGTTTCATTGGCACACTTGTACAGGCCACCATAATTAAACTAATTTCTATTTAATAAACAACATTCCTTGGACAGTTTCAACCTACACATCAACAGATGGGGCAGGGTGTAGCCCTGGGATTCAAATGTTGGGTCATTGAGTTCAATTTGAGTTGTGTCCCTTGCTTCACCTCAACCCTCATGTACTCGCACACTGAGATGGCTGGAATAGCACTGAACATGCTACAGTCTGCATAACATCAAACTCCCAACTCACTCACATCCTGTGCTTTTGTTGCAGCTTAGCCTGGTGGACTTGGCTGGCAGTGAGAGAGTGGGCAAAACGGGAGCTGGGGCAGAACAGCTGAAGGTATAGACGTCTGCTTAATAATTATAACAACATTTCATTAAAAGTAAAACATCCTTGTGATGATCATGGTAATAATAACATTTACTTCCTCTCTGTTATTTATCCTCATCTTCCAACACCTAAAAAAAATTGTGTATCTGTTGCCTGATTGTAAGGGGGATTCTTGAACTGACTCAAGGGCTCTGTGCTGGTTGTAAAAGTCAGCTTAACGATAATTAATCTCATATAAACCTTAGTGCTTGCTACAGCTACACATAGATTTTAGGGTGTACCATTACAGTTCATGTACGAACTAGAAGTTTGTTTTCTGTCATCTGTCAATGTGAAAAATGGAATAAAGTGGATAGGATAACAGACCTGGTATTCTTTTAGGCAAAAGTATGCTCGCATAGGACATACCTGCAAGAATATAATCTAATGTATGATAAAATATAAAAGATTTCCACCATTCCGTTGGGTATCGTGGGTTTCTTTTACATAAACCAATATTTTTCCTTATCCTGACTCATGCTTATTGCTTGTCTCCCTTTTCTTCCGAATGCTAGTGGAACACTTGAATCCCCTTTTGAAGCTCCCTTAAAAAAACACTCACCAGGAGTCATCTCCCTTCCCCTGGTTTTGGCGGGAAAACAGCGCCACCTGTCACCATGCTCCTCACTTTCTCCTGATTCGCCCGAGTGGGCGGTTGTGAGAGCGCCTGGTCCCCTATACGGCATTATATCCTTTTATTATTTATTCAGAAAATTACATTTCTTTCTGGAGAATGCTTGACAGTGTATAATGATTGTGATGTTTCATAATTGCTGTCTGTGTACAGGAAGCCATGTCCATCAATAAGTCGCTGTCAGCTCTTGGTGATGTCATCTCAGCACTCAGCAGTGAGCAGTCCTTCATCCCCTACAGGAACAACAAGCTGACCATGTTGATGCAGGACTCTCTCGGAGGCAATGCGAAGACGCTCATGTTTGTCAACATCTCCCCTGCTGACTACAACACAGATGAGACTGTCATCTCTCTCACGTAAGCTCTCATTTTGTGGAGTATAAGTCAGTTATCTTTTTCACAGAAGCTGTCATTGTGTGTGCTATAAGAATATTATCCCTCTCACATAATCTCTCACTTAAGCTGTCTTTGTCTGCCTTATAAGACAGTTATATATTCAGTAAAACCATTATGTTTCTCATGTACATTCTGGCACCATGGGTCCTTGGGGTAGCCTAGTGGTTAAGGCGTTTGCCCATCATGCCGAATGCCCAGGTTCTATTTCACACATGGGTACAATGTATGAAGCCTATTTCTGGTACTTTTCACTGTTTAAATGCTGCAAAATACAAACAAAAGCCATACTCCCTATGGTGATAGGTGTTGCATCCCTTAGTGGTTAGAGCGTCCGCCCGGAGAGCGGAAGGTCGCGGGTTCGAACCCCCGACCGCGTCATACCAAAAGACGCTAAAATATGGTACTTGTTGGTCCCTACCAGGGGTACAACAAGGACTGGTCGGCTCAGAGTCAGTATACTGTGTCTGAGTGGGGTATTTCTGCTTCACTTCGGCATGGTATCTCAGTGAGCTAGCACTATAAAACCAGCTTAAGTCTGGGCTAGTACACGCAGCCGCACATACACATACACACACATGCAAGTCGTCATATGAGCGAAATATTCTCAAGCACGACGTTAAACCCAATTTCACCTCACCTCACCTCCCTTAGACAAAGTCATATGGCTGGGAAATTGCTGACTGTAGTGTTCAACCTCTCTCACACCAACATCTTGTGTTTGTAGATACGCCTCTCGTGTGAAACTGATCACCAACGACGCATCTAAGAATGCTGACAACAAGGAGATTTTGAGACTGAAGGCGGTAAGTGTTTTTAACTTATATAGTGCAGTAGACTCCCACTGTTTTATAATCACAAAGATGAAAGGCCATTGCTAGTCCAAACAACTTAGAATCATGTCTTTTAAACATGTTGTCACTTTTTTTGCTTTTACCAGGTACATAGAGTATCTCAATTTCCCTCTAAGCTATGATGAAGTAGCTGTCTGCAGCTTTTTGTGTTTGCTGGAATTTGCTGCAATTGTTTTATCAACCACAGCTTACGACAGATGTTAGACACTTCATAAATGACCAACGTTTCATTGGTTTTTATTTGAGGTAAAAAAACAATGCAAATATCATTTGTCATGTGTCAGGTGTCAGGTCACTTTGAGGATCATCCACTCATGTATGAAATAGTTTCATTCAGGAAGAATTGTTAATATGGTATGGGGACTCCATATTTGTAGCACCACCAAGCCAAGCCTGGTAATCTTCTAACATGTGACTGGATTAGGAGGTCAGTGTCACTCAGTGTGAGCTTGGGACAGTCCTGCTGCAGAATGTGTATCGTACCACAGCACAAACATGTGTCATAATGCATGTACAATGTGTTATATTCTGGAGTCTTAATAGTTGATTATTTTTGTTGAATTATGGCACTGAATGAGGTTCCCTATTCTGTATGTTATTTACATTGGGGGGGATAAAATAAGCAGCCTGTGAGGGTATTATCGTTAGCATATTACATTTTCTATGATATGGTTTCAGAAATGTTACAGTGTGCATATACATTCTCTTCCCACAGAGGTTACTTGTCATATCTTCCTACAAACCTCTGTTCTAATACGGCTCTTTCATGGTGAGAGTGTTCAGGATTCATGTTTGGTTTGCAATAAGATTTAGATGTGCAATCAGCGACATTGTTTCAAAAGTGATCATTTGCAAGACCTCGGTAGTTTCCGTATACTTCGGGAAAACTAGAACCTCTTCATCTGTGCAATGCGCAAACGTTTCTTCTAGACAGAACTCAGTCATGTATTGGCAGGTCAATGGCGTCTCCATCGCCCTCATTGACAACAGACAAGGTAGCCATTAAATGCCTTGTGTGTCACATCAACACAAGTCCCCGGCAGAGGAGGGATATTTGTGGTGCCATAGGTGCTTGCATTAGTCAAGTTAGATCTAAGTCGATGTAAAACGTGTTCTGATCGGACAGAAAGAAGGGAGATACTTCGTGTTGTGATCATTTGCCTCTAGGAGATTTTACGAGAACCGGAAAATATGGCCGTATTAGAACAGAGGTTCGTAGGAAGATATGACAAGTAACCTCTGTGGGAAGAGAATGATATTACCTGTATCTCCATAAATACAAAACGTATTGAAGTGAACTGGAAAGCATTTGCAACATATCAACTTGGGTTTATAGAAACCAAATGTTTTGCTTGTGATCTGAACTTCGCCATTTTTTCCCTTATTCTTATAGCTGATGTTTGATGTTTCAGATGATCCAAAAGATGAAGAAAGGCGAGTCAGTGGATGAGGAAGAACAGTAGACTACTCCAAGAATCAAGTTGAATACTACAAACATCTGTGATATTTCAAATGGAGAACAAGGCCATTGGCGTAGATCAACATATCAACCGTCCAGCATTATTAAAATATTACACTTATGTTTAAATGCTTACAATCAAAATCCAGATTTATTTGCATTCCAGTTATTTTCAAACTGTGATATAGAGCGAAGTGTGAGTATAGTATTATCAATGTTCCAACATCACAGTGGGGACACCAGACATAGGCTTCACACATCATACCCAAGTGGGCCTGTGGGTGACAGGCAAAGACTTCACCCCCTACTTTGCCCCACTGTGACACACTGTGTATGGCACATGTTGTTGGAGTAGCTTTGAAAGAGTTTCTTCTCCTTCACTTTGCATGGTTTCAAATTTTTTGTGCCAAGTTAAAGAACCAATATAACCAGAACCTAGTGAACAAGAATTTGTTTTGTTAAAATAATATCTTAACGTCACAGAGGCACTATTTTGGCCAGAGAGTGACATGATGTTAATTTCAACCAGTGTTTGAAACTTATGCATGTATGCCCAAAGGTTTCAAACCAGTTTTTCCTTCAATCATATACACAATGCTCGCACAATCCTGCGTAGATGACATATTTATATTTACCAATGTTACACCCTTTATTACATGTATTTATGTTTAACATTTGTAACCTGGGTTTGTCTGGGGGTTGTTGGTTATGGTATATTTCTATATTCATCTTAGTATGTGCAATTTGCTTTCTTGGATAACCAACTCTGGACCAGGCAAGGCAGTGACTGACATCATTAGTATCCATCTACACATTTGGGATATGAAGACATGTAGCAACAAATCTGCCCTATCCTGTCAGTCCCCACCTATGATGGGATATGAAGACATGTAGCAACAAATCTGCCCTATCCTGTCAGTCCCCACCTATGATGGGATATGAAGACAGGTAGCAACAAATCTGTCCTATCCTGTCAGTCCCCACCTATGATGGGATATGAAGACAGGTAGCAACAAATCTGCCCTATCCTGTCAGTCCCCACCTATGATGGGATATGAAGACAGGTAGCAACAAATCTGCCCTATCCTGTCAGTCCCCACCTATGATGGGATATGAAGACAGGTAGCAACAAATCTGCCCTATCCTGTCAGTCCCCACCTATGATGGGATATGAAGACATGGAGCAACAAATCTGCCCTATCCTGTCAGTCCCCACCCATGATGGGATATGAAGACAGGTAGCAACAAATCTGCCCTATCCTGTCAGTCCCCACCTATGATGGGATATGAAGACAGGTAGCAACAAATCTGTCTCCATCCTGTCAGTCCCCACCTATGATGGGATATGAAGACAGGTAGCAAACAAACCTACTCCCATCCTGTCAGTCCCCACCTATGATGGGATATGAAGACATGGAGCAACAAATCTGTCCTATCCTGTCAGTCCCCACCTATGATGGGATATGAAGACAGGTAGCAACAAATCTGTCCTATCCTGTCAGTCCCCACCTATGATGGGATATGAAGACAGGTAGCAACAAATCTGTCCTATCCTGTCAGTCCCCACCTATGATGGGATATGAAGACATGGGAGCAACAAATCTGTCCTATCCTGTCAGTCCCCACCTATGATGGGATATGAAGACAGGTAGCAACAAATCTGTCCTATCCTGTCAGTCCCCACCTATGATGGGATATGAAGACAGGTAGCAACAAATCTGCCCTATCCTGTCAGTCCCCACCTATGATGGGATATGAAGACAGGTAGCAACAAATCTGCCCTATCCTGTCAGTCCCCACCTATGATGGGATATGAAGACATGGAGCAACAAATCTGTCCTATCCTGTCAGTCCCCACCTATGATGGGATATGAAGACATGTAGCAACAAATCTGTCCTATCCTGTCAGTCCCCACCTATGATGGGATATGAAGACAGGTAGCAACAAATCTGTCCTATCCTGTCAGTCCCCACCTATGATGGGATATGAAGACAGGTAGCAACAAATCTGCCCTATCCTGTCAGTCCCCACCTATGATGGGATATGAAGACATGTAGCAACAAATCTGTCCTATCCTGTCAGTCCCCACCTATGATGGGATATGAAGACATGGAGCAACAAATCTGCCCTATCCTGTCAGTCCCCACCTATGATGGGATATGAAGACAGGTAGCAACAAATCTGTCCTATCCTGTCAGTCCCCACCTATGATGGGATATGAAGACAGGTAGCAACAAATCTGTCCTATCCTGTCAGTCCCCACCTCAGTCCCCACCTATGATGGGATATGAAGACAGGTAGCAACAAATCTGCCCTATCCTGTCAGTCCCCACCTATGATGGGATATGAAGACAGGTAGCAACAAATCTGTCCTATCCTGTCAGTCCCCACCTATGATGGGATATGAAGACATGGAGCAACAAATCTGTCCTATCCTGTCAGTCCCCACCTATGATGGGATATGAAGACATGGAGCAACAAATCTGTCCTATCCTGTCAGTCCCCACCTATGATGGGATATGAAGACAGGTAGCAACAAATCTGCCCTATCCTGTCAGTCCCCACCTATGATGGGATATGAAGACAGGTAGCAACAAATCTGCCCTATCCTGTCAGTCCCCACCTATGATGGGATATGAAGACATGGAGCAACAAATCTGTCCTATCCTGTCAGTCCCCACCTATGATGGGATATGAAGACAGGTAGCAACAAATCTGCCCTATCCTGTCAGTCCCCACCTATGATGGGATATGAAGACAGGTAGCAACAAATCTGTCCTATCCTGTCAGTCCCCACCTATGATGGGATATGAAGACAGGTAGCAACAAATCTGCCCTATCCTGTCAGTCCCCACCTATGATGGGATATGAAGACAGGTAGCAACAAATCTGCCCTATCCTGTCAGTCCCCACCTATGATGGGATATGAAGACAGGTAGCAACAAATCTGCCCTATCCTGTCAGTCCCCACCTATGATGTACATGGGATGCTTAAGACTGAATCTATCCTATATCTTTACTGGTATCACAAAGTATTTGTGTGCTGCTTAATGCAACACAAAAATCAGTGATCTGGATATCTCATGGCATCTTGTGGAAAGCACTATATAGACATCACAGATACTGAAACATTTCCTTTCTTGAGAAAGCTAGCAAGAACTGCTACGAAGTTTTCCAGTCTAATGCACTTTATGGACCTCTCTCTGATGCCTGGTTCCCTTTGGATTTGGATTTCCTGGAGGATCATAAATTTGAGTGAGGCTAACAGCATATCAAAGCAACTCAATTATCACTGCACCATTTCATCGCCGACAACTCATTATGTTATTGTCATGCACCAGTAAATCACAAGTAGACTTACCATTAGGATAATTTGCTCCCATTTCATACATACTTTATAAATGTTGGTCCTAAATAAAGTAGAATGGAGAGATGTGTAGCTTAGCTGGTCCAATGTTAGTAGTGAGTGAGTGAGTTTAGTTTTACGCGGCACTCAGCAATATTCCAGCTATATGGCAGCGGTCTGTAAATAATCGAGTCTGGGCCAGACAATTCAGGGATTGATCTATGCAATTGGGATACGGTGACGTGTCAACCAAGTTAGGGAGCCTGACCACATGATCCCGTTAATCGCCTCTTACGACAAGCATGGGTTACTGAAGAACAATTCTAACCCAGATCTTCACGGGTCTGGGTGGATACTCCAGACACTGGCATAATACCAATAAATGGGGAACCTTGTGGTTTCCAGACACTTGTATGAAATAGTGCAGTAGGTCATCAGCTCACAAGGACATGAGCTAACAATTCAGTTTCACCCATTAAGCACCTCTGTATTCTAGATGATGTTAGTGTTGTGTTTACTATCATAATGTACTGAATAACTGAGTAAGGTTTCCAGCAAGCCAAAAACAAACAGTTTCATTTTCTGTCATAAAGAAAATCATTTTATTTAGATAACTGATAGTGACTGGGTTTAATGGTAGTTTGGTCAGATCATGGCCTGATGTGGGTGGTCCAAACTTGTATGAAACTCATAGAACATGGTGCTGGAAAATCTAGTACTTGAACCCATCTCAGATGTCGTCAGATGACAAATTTTGATACCTCACTCCCCAACCCCAACCAACACACACACCATAACTCACACAGTCCCCACCCTTTTCTTTTCACTTTAGCCAAGCGAATTACAGGTCAAACTAAATATTGTTTATGTTAATCATCATAAAACATCTTCTGTAGGTGATGGAAACACAAGACGCAACAAGCAATAGAAATGTTTATTGAACAATGTATTCAAATGATAAGAAAATCAACAAGTCATGTCCCACATGTTATCACTATCACTGAAACTTGTGATATATGCATTGACATAGTCCATTTAACAGAACAATTTAATGGACAGGGAACAACAAACAGCCATTTTACTGTCTTGATCTTATCTTGATGTTTGTAATTTCACCTTAATAGGTATGTATATCTAAATCAGATCTTTGAATCAGTGATGTCCATTTATGATCCGATGATAATGGAAAATAGAATACCGGCTACATTAGGGGTTGTAGAGGGTGCACACTGATGCCGAATTTAATATTTCAGAGAACCCATATGATTGATGAAATAATTTCCCCCAACCTCTTCGACACAGCAGTGAACACTTAGTGTAATATGTTCATATTAAGAAATATGAAACTTCAGTTATAACAGTATCAAAATATACTATGTTGAAAACAAGTCTGATTGAACAACAAAAACAATTAACATTGTGTGAAATTAAACACATAAAGACTGATAGTGATAAACAATGGTTGTAGACAGCAGCATCTTTCAAAGGCGGAATATACTAGACAAAAAAAGTTAAGGATCATGAATAGATTTTGGATATTGATTTGTAGTGCAGGCCAGAGTCACAAATTGACCCCATACAGTTTCACATTTCCTAACTTTCTTTGTTGAGTATATACGAATCATTCCTTGATAAATCAACATGGCTGACAAAGCAGCTGACTGTTGACGATCTTAATACTAAGCGGCAATGGATTTCTCAATATACACCACCAACAGCCATCGCAGACATCGACACTGGTCAGTCATTCCTGTATGCATGTGTGCCTTGGTCTGACACGAGAAAGACTGAAGGGTCACAGAAGAACCATCTCTCCACATTGGCACTGAACACAGTAATCACTCTTAATGTTTTATTATGCAGCCTCAAGGTTATCTCATTACTCATCATTTTGAGTGAGTGAGTGAGTTGGGTTTTACACCGCTTTTAGCAATATTCCAGCAATATCATGATGGGGGACACCCTCCTCATTTTGAATATGCTGGACTATTATAGAGGTAAGAATGTCCCAACATTGTGCACTGGTCAAAACATCACCATTAGCACCATGTTAAGTGCATTGTAGTGATATAGGGACTATTGCTGTCAACTCTTGCTGATAGAAATTTAAATGTCTTGTGACTGAGAGTAATGGTTAAATTGCAGACTGAAGCTGTTTCATCAGGCCAGTCATCCTACATTTAGTTTATTTCTGACAAAATTCTTTGTCAGAACACAAAAAAGAAAAACTAGTCCCAAAATAGAAAGGTCCTGTAATTAATCATTTACAAAATAATTATAACTACACTATTCCATTCCTCTACAGTACCTTCATGTTTTTCTAAGGACACTTGGGTGATCCTTGAATCAAGGTAAAATGCTGACTACATGATGGAAGCTGATAAACTTTAATTCTGATATGGTTTGTTAGAAGTGCAGGGAGCAGTGAGAGCAAATACCATAGTGAACGATTCTGTGGAATTCCTGGAACATGTGTGCATGTACATAATAAGTGACAGTGATAATAGAGACAGATAAAAAAAGACTATATAAATGTTCCAAAGCAAACTTTTGACACCTCACATTCTCAAATACCCATAACCTTCCATTCAATAGATGTCTCGGTACGTGTCCCACATGCAGACGAAAACAATTAACATTCAACTGATTATTTGGCATGTTTCTTAAAGATGTTGATGACGTCTTCGACATCTTCCTTCGAGCCCAGGTAGATGGGACTACGCTCATGGATTTCCTTGGGCTGGATTTCCAGAATTCTTTGTCTTCCGTCTGTAGCCAGCCCACCTGCTTGCTCTATGATGAAGGCCATTGGGTTACACTCGTACAGCAGACGCAACTGAAACAGCCAATCACATGTTAGCATATTGGTAGAGAAGTGATTATCTTCATAGTATAGTGAATCTGGCTTACAGAGCTACAGATAACTTTTTGGGCCATTGAGTTATGTACTCGATTGTGTTCATCTCAATTGGGTATCCTAATTTTCCTTTCAGTAACCAAATAAATTGTACTCACCTCATTCAAACTCAATTGGGTATTTTGCCATTTCTCATTAATTTTAAAAATATAATAAAGTTTAAATGTTAGTGTTTGTTATTTATATTTTATCTGTATTATGAGAAACTGCAAGTTGTCAAGTTCATTTCCTGAAATAGAACCTCTCAGTATGCCTCAGTTATTTTATCTAACCCCAGTATGCAAGCTAAGATTTGACAGTTTTGTGTGTACGCATGTAAGATCACATTTATTGAGTATTTACAAAAATTCAAGCGTACTTGTACGCAATAGACTTAATAGAGTTTCCACATAAATATTTGCGTAATTTACACAGATACGCAGCTTATCTGTACCTCTGGGCTTAACAATGCTTTTTAATACCATTTCAGTATATTCCTGCAAGTCTGAGTGAGTGACTTCTGAAACCCAGGGAAAATCTTAACATAATTACGACAAACCTGCGATTCAAACCCCTCAGTTTATGGCGAGGTAATGGTACACATTGAATTAAGCATCTTAGTGAGTGAGTATGGTTCTATGCTGCTTTTAGCAATATGGGGACACCAGATTGTACCCCAGCCTTCAGCATGGCGATTAGCACTTAAATCAGCAACATGCTATTCCGATGCCTTCCAGTCATTAGATGTTTCGCTACAGTACTCATAATGTATCTTTAGCATCAGTTTCATTGAATGATCTCGCATTCTCTTCAAAAAAAATTGTCGTCTATATTTTGGTTGAGATCATCAAAATATAACACATATAACAATAACTTATAATCCTGAGGTATTGTTGCTGTAATGCAGAGATGACTGTGTGTGAGGACAAGTTTTTTTTATAAGTGGACCTTTAAAAAAAGGAACTTTGTATTACCTCTTGTCTTGTCAAACTTGTCTTGTAAATCAAATATGACAAAGACATTTGTGTAACAGTGTCTTAATATCAAATACATCATCCATTTAGGAACATTTATAATGCATCTGGAATATTCTATGGATTCTGAAGTATCTGCAAGGGAAGACAACTCACTTTTCCTTTTCGGTGCCTCCGTGGTAGATGGATACATGAATATTCCTCCGATACAAGGGTTCTGTGAACATCAGCTACCATAGACCCGATGTAGCGGCCACCATAAGGTTTGCCAGACTGTAAACACAGAGACCATGAAAGAACAAGTGAGTAAGTGAGTGAATGAGTTTAGTTTGACGCTGCACTCAGCAATATTCCAGCTATATAGCGGTGGTCTGTAAATAATCGAGTCTGGACCAGACAATCCAGTGCTCAACAGCATGAGCATCGATCTGCACATTTGGGAACCTATGACATATGTCAACCAAGTCAGGGAGCCTGACCACGCGATCCTGTTAGTCGCTTCTTATGACAAGCATGGGTTACTGAAGATCAATTCTAACCCGGACCTTCATGGGTACCATGAAAAAACAAGAAGGCCACAACATGCTTTCTTATTTGTTTCTCTATGATTATTCCTTAATTACCATATTCAGTATGTTAACCACTCTGCTGCATTTTGCACCCCAGAGAACAACTTGAAGACCAGTGTTTAAGTAATCTTAACGTGCATCCTGTATAGGACTGTAAATGTATCTTCAGCATTCTGCATTAAGTTTTGGCACTAACACTGTCTTTCGACAAAAAAAACACATTTTGCCTGAATCTCTTCACACCCATCATAGCAAAATGTCAAATAGAATACAGAATGTTTTCAGTGTTTACTCTTTATTCATTTCTGTAAACAAAACTACTGTATTCACAATAATTACTGCTGTGGTTGCTTCTCTCCTACAGTCCGTTTGAGTCCGAAACGGACCGATGAATTGCAAATTTTATCATTGTACAAAATTGCCACATAAATATAAATAGTACACATGTTTATCATTTACTAATACCCAACAGCTTTCTTATATTTGAAAATTTTCCGGACTCCACCAAAAAGGTTCTTTAAGAAACTATCATTAACATTTTGACACAGATCACTATTTGTTACGAGGGAGGAGTGCAGAGAAAGGGACAGCCAGGTGTGCGAGAAAGGATGGAGACGGCACAGCACAGGCTAATGAATCAATAACTTGGTGGGCACTTGTGCACATGCTTCTCTAACACCTAGCTGTCCCTTTCTCTGCACTCCTCCCTCATAACAAATAGTGAACTGTGTCAAAATGTTAATGATAGTTTCTTAAAGAACCTTTTTGGTGGAGTCCGGAAAATTTTCAAATATAAGAAAGCTGTTGGGTATTAGTAAATGATAAACATGTGTACTATTTATATTTATGTGGCAATTTTGTACAATGATAAAATTTGCAATTCATCGGTCCGTTTCGACTCAAACGGACTGTAGACAAAGAGTGGGCGAGGTTGTGCTTAATATAGCAGCATACAACAAGCTAGACTTGGACAAGTCTCTAAGGTAAAAATTAATAATTTAAATGATAAATGATAAAAATAATAAATAAGAGACTGGGGTCCTGTACTGTCCGCTTATCTAGCCTTGCCTCTTCAAGGGATAGAATTACTATAATCCATGGGCTCAGTATTCAGTACAACCTTGGAGCAAGGCTAAAAACAAGCAAGTTACATTTATTTTCAAGCAATATTCCTGCTTAATAATAGGGGGACACTGCTTGAATTTGAATGAACATGAATTTGTTAAACAAATAGAATGAAACGTATGGCCTTACTATCCCATCAAAACATGTTGCCTCAGATGCTTGATGGGCATTTAGTAGTTGGGAAGTAACACAACAAAGTATGGTATGGATTTACAAAAATAAGTAACTAAAAATAAGTAAATATTAAAATAAATAAGTAAATATTAAAGAAGTTGTAAATCCATACCATACTTTGTTATGTTTGCCTCGTCAACAAATGCTGTTTCACCCACCTCCGGGAACTTCTTGCTCTTCACATACTCTCGTGTTGGTTCATCCCAAAACTTCTCATAACCTTCATTGAGGGAGTAAATCTTGCCCCGAGGTTTACACCTGATGTTCTTCTCTGTCAACAGGAACTCTCCAATGGCCTGAAATACAGGACTCCAAGATATGATGCACACCAGACAGAATTAGTTTGTTGCCAGAGACTCATGGATGGGATAACTGTTTATGAGTTATGTCTTTAAAAATTTTAACTCAGCTTTCAACAGTAATTTATTGAAACCATGACCTCAGACACACAAACATGATGCTGATGTATCTTGACCGTTTAAGCATTTTGGTAACCATGGTGATGATAATCTTTGCACTGAATGATATTTCTTTGGTATTATGAGTTAACCAGTTGTTCCACTCACGGGATCATACATGAAGCCATTGACACCATTTCCTGTGGACAAGACCACCATAGTGGCGCTGCCATACAAGGCGTATCCTGCCGCCAACAACCTCCGTCCCTGGTTTCAAGGCATCCTTCACTGTGGGAATCCCATCTCCATTCTGAAACACGTTAAATCAACGATCTGACTCTTGGGTTTTGTAATAGAAACAACATCACTGTGGAATCTGAATCACTCTTGGTAGATACGACATGACCTAGCAATCTGAATCTCACATTCAACATACAATTTCATCCTGCATTTCAGAAACAAAATCACCCAGCAATATAAATCGGATGTTCTAAAAAACAACATCACCCATCAGTCTGACTCACACATTCAAGAAACAACACCCAGCCATACGAGTCACATTTAAGAAACATCACCCAGCAATCTGACTCACATTCAAGAAACATCACCCAGCAATCTGACTCACATTCAAGAAACATCACCCAGCAATCTGACTAACATTCAAGAAACAACACCCAGCTATCTGACACACATTCAAGAAACATCACCCAGCAATCTGACTCACATTCAAGAAACATCACCCAGCAATCTGACACACATTCAAGAAACATCACCCAGCAATCTGACTCACATTCAAGAAACATCACCCAGCAATCTGACTCACATTCAAGAAACAACACCCAGCAATCTGACTCACATTCAAGAAACATCACCCAGCAATCTGACTCACATTCAAGAAACATCACCCAGCAATCTGACTCACATTCAAGAAACAAATCACCCAGCAATCTGACACACATTCAAGAAACATCACCCAGCAATCTGACTCACATTCAAGAAACATCACCCAGCAATCTGACTCACATTCAAGAAACATCACCCAGCAATCTGACTCACATTCAAGAAACATCACCCAGCAATCTGACACACATTCAAGAAACATCACCCAGCAATCTGACACACATTCAAGAAACATCACCCAGCAATCTGACTAACATTCAAGAAACATCACCCAGCAATCTGACTCACATTCAAGAAACATCACCCAGCAATCTGACTAACATTCAAGAAACATCACCAGCAATCTGACTCACATTCAAGAAACATCACCCAGCAATCTGACTAACATTCAAGAAACATCACCCAGCAATCTGACTCACATTCAAGAAACATCACCCAGCAATCTGACTCACATTCAAGAAACATCACCCAGCAATCTGACTCACATTCAAGAAACATCACCCAGCAATCTGACTAACATTCAAGAAACATCACCCAGCAATCTGACTCACATTCAAGAAACATCACCCAGCAATCTGACTCACATTCAAGAACCATCACCCAGCAATCTGACACACATTCAAGAAACATCACCCAGCAATCTGACTAACATTCAAGAAACATCACCCAGCAATCTGACTCACATTCAAGAAACATCACCCAGCAATCTGACACACATTCAAGAAACATCACCCAGCAATCTGACTCACATTCAAGAAACATCACCCAGCAATCTGACTCACATTCAAGAAACATCACCCAGCAATCTGACTCACATTCAAGAAACATCACCCAGCAATCTGACTAACATTCAAGAAACATCACCCAGCAATCTGACTCACATTCAAGAAACATCACCCAGCAATCTGACTCACATTCAAGAAACAACACCCAGCAATCTGACACACATTCAAGAAACATCACCCAGCAATCTGACTAACATTCAAGAAACATCACCCAGCAATCTGACTCACATTCAAGAAACATCACCCAGCAATCTGACTCACACATTCAAGAAACATCACCCAGCAATCTGACTCATATTCAAGAAACATCACCCAGCAATCTGACACACATTCAAGAAACAACACCCAGCAATCTGACACATTCAAGAAAACATCACCCAGCAATCTGACACACATTCAAGAAACATCACCCAGCAATCTGACTAACATTCAAGAAACATCACCCAGCAATCTGACTCACATTCAAGAAACATCACCCAGCAATCTGACTCACATTCAAGAAACATCACCCAGCAATCTTGACACACATTCAAGAAACATCACCCAGCTATCTGACTAACATTCAGAAACATCACCCAGCAATCTGACTCACATTCAAGAAACATCACCCAGCAATCTGACTCACATTCAAGAAACATCACCCAGCTATCTGACACACATTCAAGAAACATCACCCAGCAATCTGACACACATTCAAGAAACATCACCCAGCAATCTGACACACATTCAAGAAACATCACCCAGCAATCTGACACATTCAAGAAACATCACCCAGCTATCTGACTCATATTCAAGAAACATCACCCAGCAATCTGACTCACATTCAAGAAACATCACCCAGCAATCTGACTCACATTCAAGAAACATCACCCAGCAATCTGACTCACATTCAAGAAACATCACCCAGCAATCTGACTCATATTCAAGAAACATCACCCAGCAATCTGACTCACATTCAAGAAACATCACCTTAGCAATCTGACTCACATTCAAGAAACATCACCCAGCAATCTGACTCACATTCAAGAACCATCACCCAGCAATCTGACTCATATTCAAGAACCATCACCCAGCAATCTGACTCACATTCAAGAAACATCACCCAGCAATCTGACACACATTCAAGAAACATCACCCAGCAATCTGACTCACATTCAAGAAACATCACCCAGCAATCTGACTCACATTCAAGAAACATCACCCAGCAATCTGACTCACACATTCAAGAAACATCACCCAGCAATCTGACTAACATTCAAGAAACATCACCCAGCAATCTGACTAACATTCAAGAAACATCACCCAGCAATCTGACTCACATTCAAGAAACATCACCCAGCAATCTGGCTCACATTCAAGAAACATCACCCAGCAATCTGACTCACATTCAAGAAACATCACCCAGCAATCTGACTAACATTCAAGTCATCACCCAGCAATCTGACTCCACATTCAAGAAACATCACCCAGCAATCTGGCTCTACATTCAAGAAAACATCACCCAGCAATCTGACTCACATTCAAGAAACATCACCCAGCAATCTGACTCACATTCAAGAAACATCACCCAGCAATCTGACTCACATTCAAGAAACAACACCCAGCAATCTGACTCACATTCAAGAAACATCACCCAGCAATCTGACTCACACATTCAAGAAACATCACCCAGCAATCTGACTCACATTCAAGAAACATCACCCAGCAATCTGACTCACATTCAAGAAACATCACCCAGCAATCTGACTCACATTCAAGAAACATCACCCAGCAATCTGACTCACATTCAAGAAACATCACCCAGCAATCTGGCTCACATTCAAGAAACATCACCCAGCAATCTGACTCACATTCAAGAAACATCACCCAGCAATCTGACTCCACATTCAAGAAACATCACCCAGCAATCTGACTCACATTCAAGAAACATCACCCAGCAATCTGGCTCACATTCAAGAAACATCACCCAGCAATCTGACTCATTCAAGAAACATCACCCAGCTATCTGACTCATATTCAAGAAACATCACCCAGCAAATCTGACTCACATTCAAGAAACATCACCCAGCAATCTGACTCACATTCAAGAAACATCACCCAGCAATCTGACTCACATTCAAGAAACATCACCCAGCAATCTGACTCATATTCAAGAAACATCACCCAGCAATCTGACTAACATTCAAGAAACATCACCCAGCAATCTGACTAACATTCAAGAAACATCACCCAGCTATCTGACTCACATTCAAGAAACAACACCCAGCAATCTGACACACATTCAAGAAACATCACCCAGCAATCTGACTAACATTCAAGAAACATCACCCAGCAATCTGACTCACATTCAAGAAACATCACCCAGCAATCTGACTCACATTCAAGAAACATCACCCAGCAATCTGGCTCATATTCAAGAAACATCACCCAGCAATCTGACACACATTCAAGAAACATCACCCAGCAATCTGACACACATTCAAGAAACATCACCCAGCAATCTGACACACATTCAAGAAACATCACCCAGCTATCTGACTCATATTCAAGAAACATCACCCAGCAATCTGACTCACATTCAAGAAACATCACCCAGCAATCTGACTCACATTCAAGAAACATCACCCAGCAATCTGACTCACATTCAAGAAACATCACCCAGCAATCTGACTCATATTCAAGAAACATCACCCAGCAATCTGACTCACATTCAAGAAACATCACCCAGCAATCTGACTCACATTCAAGAAACATCACCCAGCAATCTGACTCACATTCAAGAACCATCACCCAGCAATCTGACTCATATTCAAGAAACATCACCCAGCAATCTGACTCACATTCAAGAAACATCACCCAGCAATCTGACACACATTCAAGAAACATCACCCAGCAATCTGACTCACATTCAAGAAACATCACCCAGCAATCTGACTCACATTCAAGAAACATCACCCAGCAATCTGACTCACATTCAAGAAACATCACCCAGCAATCTGACTAACATTCAAGAAACATCACCCAGCAATCTGACTCACATTCAAGAAACATCACCCAGCAATCTGACTCACATTCAAGAAACATCACCCAGCAATCTGGCTCACATTCAAGAAAACATCACCCAGCAATCTGACTCACATTCAAGAAACATCACCCAGCAATCTGACTAACATTCAAAGAAACATCACCCAGCAATCTGACTCACATTCAAGAAACATCACCCAGCAATCTGACTCACATTCAAGAAACAACACCCAGCAATCTGGCTCACATTCAAGAAACATCATCCAGCAATCTGACTCACATTCAAGAAACATCACCCAGCAATCTGACTCACATTCAAGAAACAACACCCAGCAATCTGACTCACATTCAAGAAACATCACCCAGCAATCTGACTCACACATTCAAGAAACATCACCCAGCAATCTGACTCACATTCAAGAAACATCACCCAGCAATCTGACTCACATTCAAGAAACATCACCCAGCAATCTGACTAACATTCAAGAAACATCACCCAGCAATCTGACTCACATTCAAGAAACATCACCCAGCAATCTGACTCACATTCAAGAAACATCACCCAGCAATCTGACTCCCATATTCAAGAAACATCACCCAGCAATCTGACTAACATTCAAGAAACATCACCCAGCAATCTGACTAACATTCAAGAAACATCACCCAGCTATCTGACTCACATTCAAGAAACAACACCCAGCAATCTGACTCACATTCAAGAAACATCACCCAGCAATCTGACTAACATTCAAGAAACATCACCCAGCAATCTGACTCACATTCAAGAAACATCACCCAGCAATCTGACTCACATTCAAGAAACATCACCCAGCAATCTGGCTCACATTCAAGAAACATCACCCAGCAATCTGACACACATTCAAGAAACATCACCCAGCTATCTGACTCATATTCAAGAAACATCACCCAGCAATCTGACTCACATTCAAGAAACATCACCCAGCAATCTGACTCACATTCAAGAAACATCACCCAGCAATCTGACTCACATTCAAGAAACATCACCCAGCAATCTGACTCATATTCAAGAAACATCACCCAGCAATCTGACTCACATTCAAGAAACATCACCCAGCAATCTGACTCACATTCAAGAAACATCACCCAGCAATCTGACTCACATTCAAGAAACATCACCCAGCAATCTGACTCATGTTCAAGAACCATCACCCAGCAATCTGACTCACATTCAAGAAACCATCACCCAGCAATCTGACACACATTCAAGAAACATCACCCAGCAATCTGACTCACATTCAAGAAACATCACCCAGCAATCTGACTCACATTCAAGAAACATCACCCAGCAATCTGACTCAACATTCAAGAAACATCACCCAGCAATCTGACTCATATTCAAGAAACATCACCCAGCAATCTGACTCACATTCAAGAAACATCACCCAGCAATCTGACTCACATTCAAGAAACATCACCCAGCAATCTGACTCACATTCAAGAAACATCACTCATCAAACATTCCAGATACACCTGTAGAGGGACAATATGTCAATGAGTCCTATGCAAAAGTACTTCTCATATATCGCAGATTTAAAAATGCATACTTTATTCCATCAAACTATTAATGATATTTTCTATGACTCATGGATGTGACCAAAATATTTAAATTCTATGAACTGTGAAATATATGGTTGAGGCACATGCTGTGAGTCAGTGTGGCTAGACATTGCAATGAACGGGTTCATATCCAGTATGTACCACATGTCAGCTTCATACAGGAGGAAAGCCTGAAGGCATACAAGACAAATGTTCACAACAAGCATGGTGAGTGCTGACAGACCGAGGATCATAATCAGGGTTAATCTTGAACCCACCTTCCTGTAAATACCAAAGATGGAACCGATTGAGACAAGGCAGTCAATGTTGGAGGAGCCATCCAGAGGGTCAAAACACACAATGTACTTGCCCTGGAATAAATAATAAAATACAGATTTGTACATATCAAACATATTGAGACATTGTTCTCAGCACCACAGGCCCTTGTGTCTTTGCGAAGATTAAAGGTTATTAAATCTTTTTTTGAGATGACCCCCCGACCCGAAATCCTGTACAGTACAATAAATCATGACAAGGCCGAACACTTCGGTGTACCCCACCTGCCTGCTTTGCCGATCGCTACGGTACCATCGCATACAATCTATTAAAACTTAATGTAAACATAATCAGGGATGATTGGCCGATCGATCACCACTCATGAACCTACCAATTCTTTATTGTTTTTCTGCAAGTCGATTGAAGCCAGATTTTAACCCTCAACTAAACGATCTTGACACAAATGGATGACGATAGGTCCGCACAAAACATGGGTGTGGTCAAAACGAGCCCTCTGATTGGTCAACACTTGCAAATCAGCACATTCTTTATAAATTCGCGGGAATTTTTCCTTTCATCGACTGTTTAATGTACGAAATTTTTTCCGAGCAATGGCTTCTCGAGAGAAAGCATCAGTTGTAAATGTTTCCCTAACAAGCATCAACCAACCAGAGGACTTGCTTCAACCACACACCCGTTTTGTGTGGACACATCATCATCCATTTGTGTCAAGATCGTTTAGTTTTAATCGACTTGCAGAAATAACAATAAAGAATAGATAGGTGTCATAAGTGGTGATGGATAGGCCAATCATCCATAATTATGTTAACATTAAGTTTTAATCGATTGCATGCAATCTTACCGTAGCGATCGACAAAGCAGGCAGGTGGGGTACACCCACATATCCGGCCTTGTCATAATGTATTACACTGTGAAGCATTTCGAGTCAGGGGTCATCTCAAATTTTTATATTTTTAATATTTTTTTACATTGTTAATCCTTGCAAAGATACGAGGGCCTGTTCTCAGCACTACACACTAATATCAGGAGCAAAAGTATTAAACTAATTGCCTGATTACTATCAATAAAACATTTCTAAGTTTTCACTTCTCATGTGGAACATTTATCATGTGTACAGAATACTTCAGAGTAGTGCCTCCTATTCTAATCCAGGTCTGTCCCTTCATACATCAACCCCCTCATGGGTACAATGTGTGAAGCCCATTTCTGGTGTCCCCCGCTGTGATATTGCTGGGAAATTGCTAAAAGCGGCATAAAACTTAACTCACTCACTCATACATCAACCACAGCTGCAGGTTTCCTCAAGGGAGTTCTTCATCTGAATGATATAGGGCTGACAATATATTTTTCATTGAGTTTTTCTTCACTTTCATGAAAATTACTACCGGTACTGATAATACAAGTAAAATTCTACACAAAACTAAAATTCATGAATAATTGCATGTGTACCATAAAACCATTAAACTGATAGGTATAACCCCTCACAATGGAGTCTTTTATACATGTTGTTTAAATGTTCAGTGTCAGGAGATACCAGTATTTGACAACTCCTTCAATCTTTTCATCTGCAGCTTTGCACCTGCAGCTATTTCCAGGAACATACTGTGTTCCTGACAACTAAGATTTAAGCTAGTATTGATGGTATGTCAGACATAAACATGATAAAGAGAGGGGAAATTAATGTCATATGAAAATATATCCAGGTTACACACTGAAGTTCAGACATATGCAAGATGTTGATGTTTGGTGGTGAACATTTAACCAGATGTCACAGTGGAGAAGTCATGAATTAGAATTGGTCTTCAGCAACCCATGCTTTGTTTATAGGACAAGGTGATCAGGTGGTCAGGCTTGCTCGACTTGGTTGACAACATGTCATTGTATTCCAATTGCAAAGAGTAATGCTAAAGTTGTTGATCACTAGATTGTCTGGTCCAGATTTGATTATTTACAGACCGCCCCCATATAGCTGGAATATTGCTGAGGGAGGATTACTTACAGTGATGACAGGCAAATTCTATTAAAATGTGCATACATTCTCCAAGCTGTACATAATTTCATACGTGACAGCCCTCATGGAATACTGATCACTATTTACGGTAGTGTTGCATTACTAATGAATAACCTGACAAGTACAGGTTTACAGGAAGACCAGGAAGGATAGATAAAAGCTCTGCCTGCCAGACATTTACAACTTTGATCAGGATCTGAATTTTATCAACCTTACTTTACCATTACAAAATTACGTGAGGCTTAACGTCATACTTAAGAATATTTCATTCATATGACGGGGTGCATGTGTGTGTATATGTGGCTGCTTGTACTAGCCCAGACTTATGCTCATTTTATAGTGCTAGCTCACTGAGATACCATGCCGCAGACACATTATACTGACTCCGAGCTGGCCAGTCCTTGTTTTACCCATAAATGCCGAGTGCCAGGCCGGGAACAACAAGTACCATATTATAACGTGTTTTGGTATGATGCGTCCGGGGATCAAACCCGTGACCTTCTGCTCTCCGGGCAGACGCTCTAATCACTACGCCACTGAGTTTTACAAAATGAAAGGAAGCCAATTTTCAGAACACTTAGAAGGTAAAGCTGGGAAATTTTCGTTAAATCATGTTCAACTATAGTCAAGTAGCAAACAACTTTATCATTTTTGTTACATTCCCAGATAAGATATGAATTTATATACATAATACAACGACAGACATACACAGAATATTGATTCTGGAGTTTTGTTGTTTCTTTTGTAAATTACTCAGTTGTTCACAATCTCTTAAAAAAAGGGACACACGCACAAAAGCAGCCCTACACAAATAAAAAACCCAAAGCCAAGTATTTTAATCTTTTAATGAATCATCATACATTGCCCATTTACTATAGATATTCTGTGAATGTCGCTATGTTAAATTAGCTTATTCATTGTATCGGATCATGCAATTAACTCGTTTCTTTTTAATTTTTTTTTGCAATCTGCATTTATGAATATGAAACTTAGAGATCTGGAGTGTTGAATACAAAAATACATCTGTATGAAATAATGAGAACAACCAAACACGACCAGATCACATTTAACAATGATTTTTACCTGTTTGTGAACAACTTGATGTAATCCATTTTGACAATTTTTGCCATAAGAGTTTACGTTCTCTTCATCACTGAACTATAGATTCACAGGGCTACAGATAAGGGCCATATCGGCGTATGTATGGATAAAAAATATGCACGATACGGTAGGAAATAATTTAGAAAACGTAGCAGATATGCACCACAGCAATTGTGTACGGTCTTTTCATCATTTACAGTATTGTTTAATTGTTTATTGACCGTTTACACCAGAGTAGCAATGCTGTCATGCATATATGAAACGAAGCACAAGTTTAATGATACACCATTAAATTCCATTCAGTACTCTAAATGTACTCTTATTGTTCACCAGTACTCATATATTGAAAAAATAAGGAGTACGTACTCCTGATGTTGAAAAATTATCTGGATCCCTGGATCCAGATTCTATCTTACAGAGAAAATACACAAATAACTATCAACAGCATTCATTTTATACAGGTAGGTAACTGCTTGAAGATCAGTACTTCCTGTGGGATTGACTCTGGCAACCTGAAACTACTTTAGTCCAACACTGACCCGTTTCCACTCTCAGGCATGGATATATCGTAAAATCTTATCTGATGTCATTTGACAATAAAATATGCATGGTTTTTTATCACAAGACATGATTATGGATTATGATCTTTGAAGGCATATCATACTGACATTACTAACCTTTATTAGTTCTATATTCCTCTTTGAAACAAAATATTCTCCTTGAGAAGGCAAATCTTAACCATAAATATGTTAAATTTAGCACCCCAAACCTGCCTGACAAATATTTGCTCTCAACAGACGCGGTGATGATTTTGTGTCATCTTGGTAGAATTCATCAGCAGCTGGCCTACCTGTTTTTCAGTTTCCACTTCAACAACGGTTTCATTTTCCTCTGAGACAAGGAGGCAGGTTGTGTAAGAGGACTTGAGCATGTTGATGAACAAATCATTGGACAAGACATCCAGCTTTTTCACCTGGTCTCCCGTGGCATTGGCTGTCCCCGAGATCCCATACCTGGAAATAATGTGTTACTGAAGTTTGGCTAATAATGCACATCCCCTAACATATTGTCAGTTACCAAAATGGCATACTTGGGAACAATATTATATATGAATACACGTTGTCCTTCAGAAAACAGTCAGACTGTATGTGTGAGATTAAACTTTCTCAAATACAGTCTAGTATTTATTTTAGACTGTTCCCATCTTGGATTCCAACCCCGACATCTCAGAGTGCGGCATCTTAACGCCAGCACACAAAGTCAACAATGTAACCCACTTATTTAACAAGTCATATATTATATGCAAATATAAATATTATACAATGTAGTTGCCCCACAACTAGTAGGAACCCTTTTTATTTGAAAGTACTTTACTGCAAACTAAACATTTATATAGTCAACTCTTGTGATGTTTCAAATCAAGTGACTAATCCAGTACATACTCTTCCAGTTTACAGGGGCGGTGGGGTAGCCTAGTAGTGGTTAAAGCGTTGGCTCGTCATGCCGAAGACCCGGGTTCGAATCCCCACATGGGTACAATGTGTGAAGCCCATTTCTGGTGTCCCCCGCCGTGATGTTGCTGGAATATTGCTAAAAGCGGAGTAAAACCAAACTCAGTCAGTCAGTCAGTCTTCCAGTTTACTATAAGATGGACCACATTAACACACAGCCACAATACCGAACTACTGTGCAGCATGTTGTTTTTGTACCGTGTGTGGACACAGATGGGCTGTTTCACCTGTTGCGAGCTCACTGATGCCTACAGTGTTAAAACAGATGAACTGACCAGAAATTTACAGCTAAATCAAATGCCTGTCAGAGATTTAGTCACAACAGACACACCCAAAGGTCAAAACTGCCACAAACCCTTGTCAAAATGGCACCATGCAAAAGTATAAACAAAGCATGAATACTGTCAGTTTCAATCTCTTCTTTATTTCATTAATCCAAAGGGTTAACAACAAATGTTGATCAACAGTGAAACCTGTATCACCTCTACTAAGCTCTAGTAATGCATACTTTGACAATACTGAAACCTGTGTGTATCACCTTTACTAAGCTCTAGTAATGCATACTTTGACAATACTGAAACCTTTGTGTATCACCTCTACTAAGCTCTAGTAATGCATACTTTGACAATACTGAAACCTGTGTATATCACCTTTACTAAGCTCTAATAATGCATACTTTGACAATACTGAAACCTGTGTGTATCACCTTTACTGAGTTCTAGTAATGCATATTTGACAATACTGAAACCTGTGTGTATCACCTCTACTAAGCTCTAGTAATGCATATTTGACAATACTGAAACCTGTGTGTATCACCTCTACTAAGCTCTAGTATCATGCATACTTTGACAATACTGAAACCTGTGTGTATCACCTTTACTAAGCTCTAGTAATGCATACTTTGACAATACTGAAACCTTTGTGTATCACCTCTACTAAGCTCTAGTAATGCATACTTTGACAATACTGAAACCTGTGTGTATCACCTTTACTGAGCTCTAGTAATGCATACTTTGACAATACTGAAACCCGTGTGTATCACCTTTACTGAGTTCTAGTAATGCATACTTTGACAATACTGAAACCTGTGTGTATCACCTCTACTAAGCTCTAATAATGCATACTTTGACAATACTGAAACCTGTGTGTATCACCTTTACTGAGCTCTAGTAATGCATACTTTGACAATACTGAAACCTGTGTGTATCACCTTTACTGAGTTCTAGTAATGCATACTTTGACAATACTGAAACCTGTGTGTATCACCTCTACTAAGCTCTAATAATGCATACTTTGACAATACTGAAACCTGTGTGTATCACCTTTACTGAGTTCTAGTAATGCATACTTTGACAATACTGAAACCTTTGTGTATCACCTCTACTAAGCTCTAGTAATGCATACTTTGACAATACTGAAACCTGTGTGTATCACCTCTACTAAGCTCTAGTATCATGCATACTTTGACAATACTGAAACCTTTGTGTATCACCTCTACTAAGCTCTAGTAATGCATACTTTGACAATACTGAAACCTTTGTGTATCACCTCTACTAAGCTCTAGTAATGCATACTTTGACAATACTGAAACCTGTGTGTATCACCTTTACTGAGCTCTACTGAGCTCTAGTAATGCATACTTTGACAATACTGAAACCTGTGTGTATCACCTTTACTGAGTTCTAGTAATGCATACTTTGACAATACTGAAACCTTTGTGTATCACCTCTACTAAGCTCTAGTAATGCATACTTTGACAATACTGAAACCTGTGTGTATCACCTTTACTAAGCTCTAATAATGCATACTTTGACAATACTGAAACCTGTGTGTATCACCTTTACTGAGCTCTAGTATCATGCATATTTTGACAATACTGAAACCTGTGTGTATCACCTTTACTAAGCTCTAGTAATGCATACTTTGACAATACTGAAACCTGTGTATATCACCTTTACTAAGCTCTAGTAATGCATATTTTGACAATACTGAAACCTGTGTGTATCACCTTTACTGAGCTCTAGTAATGCATACTTTGACAATACTGAAACCTGTGTGTATCACCTCTACTAAGCTCTAGTAATGCATACTTTGACAATACTGAAACCTGTGTGTATCACCTCTACTAAGCTCTAGTAATGCATACTTTGACAATACTGAAACCTGTGTGTATCACCTTTACTAAGCTTTAGTAATGCATACTTTGACAATACTTAAACCTGTGTGTATCACCTTTACTAAGCTCTAGTATCATGCATACTTTGACAATACTGAAACCTGTGTGTATCACCTTTACTAAGCTCAAGTAATGCATACTTTGACAATACTGAAACCTGTGTGCATTACCTCTACTAAGTTCTAATAATGCATACTTTGACAATACTGATCGATATTGACTGCTTGTCAGAAATGTTTGTAAACATAGAGTGATTATCAATATGCGTTCTAGATCAGTGTCTGAAGGTATTACTGAAACATTTCCCCTGATGATAATAGAGAAGTTGATCTTCTACACATCTTATCTTTACTTAGAACTCCAACTTCTAAATGCCCCTTAAAGACAATACTGTTAAAGACATTTGTTAGGAAATGAATAAACATATAAGACATACCAAATGATGTTACTTAATTTTGAATGTGGCCTCATTTTTGTTTTGTGGCAATTTTTACTTTTTTGTGCGTGCATTTTGACATGGTTTGCGACCATCATGAGTAGTGACTCTTCCACTCAAGCTCTGCAGCTAGTAAAGTCAAAATGGACTGGTTTTCCCAGATACTAAAGCTTAGCAGTAGAACTGGGTACCTGTGTATCATATGATGGTAGTCTGAGTTCGAACCTTGAGCGCCTGACAGGTGACCGGTTGTATTCTCCACAGGGAGTGTTATGTACTCGTTGACTGACTGACTAAGTTTGGTTTTATGCCGCTTTTAGCAATATTCCAGCAACATCACGGCGGGGGACACCAGAAATGGGCTTCACACATTGTACCCATGTGGGGATTCGAACCCGGATGTACTCGTTGACCAGGGATATGTCAGCACTTTGAGCACTATAGCATGGTAATGACAGCAACTTTGCCCAGTAAGATATACTTTTCATAGTGAGTAAGTTTAGCAATATTCCAGCAATATCACAGCGGGGGACACCAGAAATGGGCTTCACACATTGTACCCATGTGGGGAATTGAACCCGGGTCTTTTTGTGTAACGAGCTAACACTTTAGCCACTAGGCTATCCCACCGTCCCTACCCATTTCATAACCTACAATAGATATAATGGGTGTTTTCCTAATTCCCTTACTATGGCAGTATTGCTTGTATTAAGGAAACTGCTGCAAAATAGTTTACAGAAATATGTACTTTCAATACATGACACTTTGGCTCAAACTCTAGAAATGTAAAGATGCAAAACAGTTCTGTCACAACACAATGATGTATAAAATTTACATTGAGCTGATAAGGCTTATTAAACCATTAAAGACAAAATGTGGTTTTCTCAGCTTGTTCTGACAAGTGCAGACAGGGTTTTCCCAAACTCACAGTAGGTGTGAAATAGACACCAAGATATATGTATTCAAATAGTTTCTAAGATATATCTGTTATGATTTCCCCTCCCCTTCTGAATAATTATATATGACATTATGATCACCAGCAATCTACCAACACACCGAACCAACCAGCCTATCTATTTCCTTATCTATAAGACTGTCTGCATCCTTTTCCTGTGTTTCCTATCAACTGCCCGAACTGAAATTTTATTCTCATGTTAAATATTGTAAAAGTTTCTTAACTCAATTTTTCCCATTGCTGTGGATATGTATGCACTGATGAGATAAAAACACTCTTACCTTGTACATTCATAAAACAAATAGGTTAGGCCAGACCAATTTTATTTCTTGTTTTACAGATTCGCTGGTCGTATTTTCTCAAGAGTAAGAAAAAAAAAATTAATTATTCTCGCTCCAAAAATAAAATCCTAATGTTTTCATTGGCAAAAATGTTAACTTACAAGAAATCTTTTAGATTATTTTTGCCCCATATACACTTCCTAAATTGCCAAAAGTAAAATACTTTTTATATTTAAAAGGAATATTACTTTGACATGTGATTTTTTAAACATTTTTTTTTTCCTCCTGCCTTTAGGTTTTCTGAGGACAAAACTCCGCAAAACAAGAAATAAAGTGCTTGATGTTTCTTCATCTACCGGTATATGATTAAATAAGATCATTCCAAACCAAAGCAACTTAATCTAAAGCATTAACTAAATTCATCCAATTAAAATAATTATTGTGATATTTTGTTATATTTTGTAATCGTTGTCTTTGATAAGAAACACATAAATAGATACGGATGGCTTTACAAGAAGTACAGGTTGCTAGGGGCTTGTATCCTGACCTGGAATCTTTACAGGTGTACAAGAATCAGTCAAATTACAGTAAACTGACATCCACTACCCGAGTTCTTTTCTAAATAACAACTTACTTTCATAAATAACTCTTGGG